TTACTGTTGATCTTATAATAGCTATGAATAAAAAGGAATACTCATTTAAAAGGAAATAACATGGGTCACATTTTCTCAGATTACCTTCCATGTTTAATATTTGCAGAAGTAAATTTTAAAATTGGTGAAAGAATAGGATTAATGATATCTTACGCAGATACCTAACCCCTCACTACAAACTGAGATCTTAAACAGGCACATACACAGGCTGCGCGTGCACGGAGGATGAATGAGCTCTTAACTGCCTGTGCATCAGGAGAGGTGTTAGCAGGCTGTACGCTGCCTGCTGCTCCTTATCTCTTAGCAATGTTTAAAATAGTGCCTGGAAGACTGAAGGTACGGTTCCATGAGACATGGAAACCCATTCGAAGGGGTGGTTGCTAGAGAACTCGCTTCTTTACTCCCTCTCTCCCCCTGCTTACCTTGCACTAGGAGTCCTCACACAGACAGGTCCCCCCCTGCTCCACAGTAACAGCTGCAGCCCTGCTCTGGCAGAAAACTCAACCTGCAAGAAAAGGTGGGTGACTTTCTGCCAAGCCACTGGGAAAGCCTCCAGCACGTTACTGATTTCCCAGTTTTATCTTTCTGGCAGGAAGCGTATCAGTCAGCCACATTATTCAGGGGATGTTTAAAGTAGTTTGTTATGATTTTTAAAAATACTGTAGGGAAAAGAAGATTAACTATATAAGATGGGACTATCCTGTACTAAAGGTGAAATCAACAAGAAACCCTAACAGGTCTTTCATTTCTAACTTCACTATAATCCCCTTATTTCTACTTTGTTGGCATAAAATAAATTCCAAATTGTCTTCCACTGCCTTGAATGGAATTTTTTCTGTAGAGGACACAGTAATTATACTGAATTAGGTATCATGTTTGCAAGAGCAAGCAAAAATAAAGCCCCCTCTTGGCAGTCTTCATGTTTTTCTTCTGCCTTCTAATCTTTACAGTTTTTCTCAAAATGACATATATTATTTCTAGCTTAGGAGGTAAAAAAAAAATATATATAATTAAGATTATGGGACCAAACAATGTTAGAACTGTTAAAAAGGGCTGTAAGAGAATTGAGACTTTCCTCCCACCTTCTGCAATTGATACAAAGAACTGTCAGATTTCTGGCAGATTTATTATTTTTGTATTAGCATTATCTGAAAGTTGGAAAAAAACTTGAAACATTTGCATGCCAGGACATAAGGTAAGAAAAGGTTCTTTTCCCTACTTGTTTGTTTTCATTTTCTTTCTATGTATACGAATGAGTTTTTATTTACTCTCTAATATGTAAGTCTGGCCATACTCAGTTAAATCTCTACTTGTTTCTGGCTCCTCCAGCAGATTGTTGTTTGAGAAACTTTCCTTAAATCAGTTTTAATGGATCAGGCAGGAGAAGCAAAGATGTTGGAACAGTAATAACAAGCTATTATTTCAACAGAGGTTAAACAGATTTACAATATCTTTGTGAAGTATAAAAGTATGTGACCTTCACAGGAAGCAGCAAAGACCTTTAATTTGAAAGACAGCTAAACCAAAAGATGAGTGTCTTAACAAAAAGCATGTTGAAGTGTTTACTTCACTGGGCCCTTGCATTTTGTGGGTATTTTGCACTAAAATACTGGTTATTTTTACTTCTCTGTGCTTGGGATTTTATTATTTTCTATAATGTGCAGGATAAAGACTATCTCTGGAGATTGTAAAGAACATAATAAAATAGTGGAACCAATGGGGATGTTGCCAGACACTGACTCACTATAATTCCAGGGTTTAGGAAAAGGACATTTTATAATTAGCTCACACTATTTACCAACCTATTGCCCTCCACCAAACAGGATGATTTTTTAAGAGGTCTCTGGCACAGTTTAAAATTAGTCACCTTTATTAGTTTCCACTAAGTAGCTGGTATTTATTGGGAAGCTTTTGTTTGCTTTGGAAACCTGTGAGTTCCCCAAATTCCACAAGCATTTATTAGTCTTACCTATTGCTTTAGAGCAGTATGTAAATTCAGGTTTTTTTGTGTTACAGTGTTATTAGTCAGAATATGTGCTTGTTTTAATGAAGTTGAGCGGTGGATTTTGTGACTAGTCATGGCCCAATGATAAATCCTGCACGGAAGCTGATCAAGGCAATTCACCTGCTCTCCACACACCTTATCTTAAATACCCTTGCCTTTCCATTAGGATCCAGAGACTACACTGTATTCTCATTTGTGTTCTGAGTTTGGCTGTGTGTTTCATTATGCCGTGCAAGCTTGAAGCTATTCAAGAGTAAGGGATGGAGAACAGTCCAGATTAAGTTTATATCATGGAGGTCAGAATGCTCTGCTGGGAGGGAAAAGGCTGCCTTTGTAGCCATTCCCAGCCTTCAGAGTGGAGACCCAGCCAGACACTGTACAAACACCAATTCTTGCGTTTGCAATTACATGTTTTTGAGAATTGAGCATTGGGAGACCTTGATCCAAGGAGGAAAGACCAACTGCAACACTTGGGCTGAAACGTGAGAGAGACACTGAAACACTTGGTCATGAATCGTTCCCAACCCTGAGTCCTATTCACAAAATCTCACAGGGTGATATTTTCTAAGCAATGTGATTTGGGGCAGCCATGGTGCTAACGCAGCAGGGAAGAGAAGGGAAGCCAACGCTCAGCAAAGCAAGCTGGACTTCTCAAGAGTTTTCACTGTTGCTTTTTGTACCACCTGGATGCTTTAAGTGACATGGATGCATTTTATTCCCAAGCTAAAATATATTTGTTTCCTATTTCTTCAATCAGTCACCTGGATTGAAAGATTTGGAAAGATTGCACTATTTTTTGAGTGAAATAGAAGTAGGACAAAACTGCTCATCCAGAAGAGCAGGCCCAGTGTCTCTGTCCTTATTGTCATGTTTGTGGATTAGCATTGCAACTTATTTTCCACTCTGGTTGGCTTTGAAATAGTCACGATTAACAGGCACATCCCGGACAAACCAGGGGCTGTAAGCACATGGCGCCTGCAGGAGTAAGAGACTCTGTCTGGCCGGCTCCCGAGCAGGGCAGCAGCTGCCAGCTCCACACCTGTACTTCCCGTGACACTTCTCATTCCCCCTGAGATGACGGGGGAGGCAGAGGGATGTGACATCTCATTAGATTTTTAAGAACTCATGCTTTCCCTGGGTAACAGGGGGCTAAGGCAGCTTTAAAACTGCAGTAAAAGGAAACTGGGGAAACCCGAAAGTGGCGTCATTTATTAACTAAGTCCCTCTAACACTTGCTTAGCCTTTTGTACAGTAAATCTGTTTTAACAAATATTTAAACATCTTCCTACCCACAAACACTGAAACATGAGGAAAAACACGTATTAGCCTCGTCTTCCCCTCCCCCCCGACTTCAGCCCCAAGGAGCTTTGCCCAGAAGACATGAAGATCCTCCAGCCCTTTCACTTAAACTCGTCAGTCATTTTACACACTCACATTCATTTTGCACACTAAGGTACAATGGAAAACGGGATCATTTCAATCATGCCTTACTTTCAAATGTTTAACAAAAAGACAGCTTCAAAGAAATCCTTAAATCTTCATTATGGATATATTATTTCCAATTAGCCACAACGTGGCCTAATTGTAGCAAACACTCTAGAAATTATTAGCCTGCTATTCCTTTGAAAAAAACCAGGTCATTGGAGACTTGCTGCCTCATTTGGGCTTTCTTTTAGCCTTTACTATTTTAGAGGTAGCTCTTTTCCATCTCCAAAGCAGGCATGGGCTGTGTAAGGAGAAAGCTCTGATAGGCCCAGTACAAAACACATGTAAATGAGACTATAAGAACATACTTGTTTCTTCTTCCACCTGCGAGAAGCACGTGAACAGATTTCTGTGAGGAGCTGGGGCAGCTTTCGACAGGAGCAAGCAGAGCGACGTCCAGTGCACGTGCAGGTGTACGGTGCTGCAGACAGGGCCCAGCAACACCCAGCCTGGATCGCTGAGACCTTGAATAGGAAAGGAAAAAAACAGGCAGGAAATCATTCTTTCAAACTGCTGTTGCTTTCTATTTCCAGCAGAGAAGGTAATAACACAAAAGCATGTGGGCAGGCTTCCTGCCATTTCTCTTCCTTATTGTTGCCTTTCTACCCAACAACAGAACCTGGCAGCTGACACGAAATTGCTTTGTTTCAGTATTCATTACTTGAAATCCTACAGTCAGATTGTTAGTACAGTAGAATGATAGCTAACAGGCACATCTTACTTTAGTTCTAACTAATAAAATACAGTAACAAAAGGAACTGAATATCAAGATTACTGTATCTATTTTGAGACTTCAATTATCAAGATCCCTTCAAAGGACTGGTGTTTCTTCTAAACCAAACCCCCACCATCAGAACAGCTAGCTTCCCAGACTTCTCTCTGTTCTTAACCAGCAGCAAGAAAGACATCATTTTGTGCGTACCTGTACTTTCTGTTGGCATTTTCACAATTAAAGGAGAAAACTGCCAGCAAGCTCAGTGTTTGGAATGCATCATGCTTGCATCAGGCCAGCAAGCTGGGGTTGGAGGAAACAAGGAGTGCATAGAAGTTGCCCTGGGCACAGGTGCTGCTAATGACACACTCATGTCCCTTGTAAACCACCTGGTGAAGTAGGAGGTAAACATAACCTAGGGATAAGCTGGCAGAGCATCTCTGCCTACCTGAACTCATTAGTTACAGCAGCTGTCTGCCATTTATAACCACCCTTGGCTTGGTGCTCTAATAATCACCATAGGGCACCCTGGGAGAGTCAGAACGATCACAAGGCTCTTCAAAGGTGGCTCAACCCTTCCCAATTCCCTTCCCTTAATTCTTCCCAAATTAAGAGAAATAACATATTCACAGATCTCCAGCTGCTGAAACAAAGCCACTAATTCTGTTATCAGCAACTTAAAGCAGCCATGAATGAACAAAATTCTATAGTAGCTGAGAAGCAAACACACAGAAAACAAACCACTGCTCTCAAGCAGTGTCCTAAAAACATTATCTTTGGAAAGAACATACACACAAGTGTAGAGTTTCCATTTATTTTACTTGATTTAAAAAAAAATAAAATAGAAGTGTATTTCCCACATTACACTTTTTTTCATCTGAACCAGTCCTAGCAGAAAGGACGTATAGCCCTCCCGCCACCCCTGAAATTTAAACACCCGTCTGTGGGCCCTGGAAAAGTTTGTACCAGGGTACAAACTGTACATTGTGGGGTGAAAAGGACCTCAGAAACACACTCCATTGCCAGTCCACCATGACTAACTTCTTGTTTAACCTTCATGGTTTCCACTGTCTGAAAAGCATCTAGAACTCTTTTCTGAGTTGCTGGGGATACATCCCGACAGTAGAAAATCCAAAATGCATTCTTGCCCAGTGGCACTGCTTGTAAACTCTGAACAGAGGGCTCTTGTCTAACGAGGTTGGCCAAGTAGTCCTGCTTTGGCTGCCAGAGCTTCATTCTGCTGAATATGGTACTCCTGAAATCTCATGGAGATCCTTTGTGTCATTTTTAAATACTTCTGTAAGCAGTGGTCTGAGCAAGTCATCTAGAAGAAGAGGGAAACAGAAGGTTTCAAACAGTAATTAAAACACTTCCTCAAACAGGACCCAAAACATTATGATATACAAGGACAAATGATTAGGTGATTACATCTCATATTCTGTGTTAAGCCTCAAGATGAGGGCCTACTTGTGCACAGCCTGTCTATGCAGTGGAAAACATGAAATTCAGTTTTTGAGACATGTCTGAAACATCTTTTAATATTCATCCTCATATGAAAGACATCTCAGATATAGTAGATTTTACCATTTCATCCTTGGGCACCTCTTGTGAAATTAAAAGTATATAAAGCATTTCATTTTGCAATAAATACTATATCTATTAAATTAGAGTCTTCTTTTTATTAATTCTCTTTACAAAGACATAGTATTTTTGACAGTCAAATATGGTCTGCTGTATACTAGCTCAGTCTAACTTTCTTTGATCTTGTTCCTATTTGCTCTATCAGTCTTCTTGTACCTGCTTGGTTAACCTTCACAACAGCAACCCAAGTATCCTCTGCAGTTCTATCATTCAGCTGGACAGGGAAAGAAATACCAGGGCCTATTCCACCCATGGCATTATTTTTTAAATTTTGGGGGTGGGGGATGCGTGCTCTTTCTTTAAGTGTAGAGAAAGAGTTATGAAATTATTTCTGAGCAACAGTTCTACCAATTGGATATTCTGTATTATGGTTCTAAACCTTGTTATCACTGTAAAAGGTAGCAAATTTAGATAGAAAAGAAAGATGACCGCTTTGCATGATTACTAGAAAACCACAAATTTCTTTGATTCTGCTCAGTATAAAGGGATGTGGAAAGCAGAGGGGCTGAAAATGAACAAGACAAAAACATCACGCAGCTATGCACGCCACCCACCCTTCTCTCTCCTCTTGACTTGGCATCAGCTACAACAAAACCTGTTAAGCTGGAAAGTCTGACTAGGAAGCAAATTCTGGAATTAGCCCAAGTGACTTCTCCCAGAGGGCGTGGTATTTGTGATCTGGTGCCCAGGGAAGACTAGACTTGCAGGGCAGACTTGCTGTATGGAAAGAGGTCAGAAGTTGTTTTTTCAAATGTAGAATCTCAAAGGAAACACATGGAGGTATTCATGTTTAATAAGAAACTACAACCTTAAATAGGACCATAGGTATTTCCATACCAGATCAGACCAGTGGTCCATCTAGACCAGTGTCCTGTTCCGAGCAGAGGCAAGAGCCAGATGCTCTGCAAAAAAAAAAAAAAAACAACCCATAATTGATAATCATGGGCAAAACTTCCAACTTCCCATAAAAAGAAGTTTCTTCCTAGCCTTTATTGTTAAGAGATAGCTCCTGCATGGCCAGACATGGCCCCTTTGCAGATCGCAGATGCAAAAAAAATAGAAAGGGCAAATCAGAATCTAAGCAATTTTTTTAATATCTAAATAATCTTAAGTTTTATTCCCCTCCAATGAGCATTCTTTGGTTTTGGATCCCCAGTCTTTAATGAAAGCCTACGTGAACCATTATTTTTAAATTAATTATTGTGACACTTCAGGTAGCAGAAGAAAAAAGTATAATCTTTGGGGATCAAAAAATTTGGGGATTTTTTTCCCCATGCCAGCAGGGTCAAGCGAAGGTTATTAGATTTTTTACTAACAAAATTATGAGATTCTGAAACAGCCTCTCAACAGGAGAGGAGAGGCAAAAACCACACAATTAATCTTACCAAGAGCTTAATCTTTTTCACAGATGACTATGATGGAGCTCCCTGCAATGCAGAGAAGTGGATATAACAGCCAGAGTTTTGGAGGCCTACATTTCTGTGATTCACTATGATGCAGGGAATGTGGGCAAGTAAACAAGTATTTTAGTAGGACTCTACCTTCAAAGAATGAGATGCAGGCTGTAGGTGAGTAACTCCCTGTCCGTAAAGATGCCACCCACCAGCACCATAGCTCAGAGAATGAAATACACAGAATGGCAACACGCAGCTAATACTCGCAGTGAGATCAGGAAGATTCCCTCTGTGTGTACATACTAAAAAGAAGACGATGTCAAAACCTTTGGACATACTTGAAACAGCATAACTACAGACAAGCTCTTTCTTCCACTAACACACTTCCTCACTTGGAAGCTATCCACGAGACTCCACTAAAGACTGCTTCCTAGTTTTTTTAGCTAGTTCAAAGACCAAAACTTTTAAAGTTGCTTCTAAAAATTGAATGCTACGCAACAATTCTACGAAGGGTTATTAAGGCATTTACCTACCTCTTCTGGTTTAACCTCTCTACTAGTGAAATCCTTTATGCAATCCAGAAAGCAGTTTTCTGTAAGTTTATTGTATGTTCCAAGAAATTCCTTGAACTGTGAATAAAAATTGAATGGATGAGTATTAAAAAAATTCTACGTTAGTTTCTTACACACAGCTGCATGGGCCATCTGGTGACACTAATATTAAAGAACAAGTCACTACAAGTCAGAAAATTTCAGGACCAAATGCTGCTAATACTTAAATCAGACACTACACTGTGTCTGTCAATGGTCAAATGTTTAAATTTTTGTTGCTACAGAGCTAGTCTTAATGCAGGCAACTTAAACTCTTTGTCCTTCTCCATGCCCTACACCTTTTACTCAATGTGATAAAGTAACATATAATATTTTCAAAGCCACCACTCATGAATACAGCACCTTACCTGCTTGATCTGCTCCGATTCCGATATTTGTCCAGCCATATTCCACCGCCTGTGATTCACTCACCTATTCTGAAGATAAAAGTCAAGTTTCACACAGAAAGTATATATATGAACTGCAACATTCTACAACAGAATGGAATTTTATATGTCCTTGAAGTGTGTTTAAATGCAACTTTGCTAGCAAGCTTTCAAGAAATCCACATGAAAAGTTACCTAAATGAAATGTATTCAGTTAAAAGAACATCCAAGATAATTCCAGGTATGAAACCTTCCCAGGTCGATCTGCTAACTGCTGTTCTTTAAATACTTTTTAAGCATTTCAAATAGTTAAAGTGATTTAGGAAAAAAAAAAAAAAGGTAGTTTATAAATGCTTCAAAACTCACAAAGTAAAACTAGAGCAGGAGTCAGGGGAGAAGCAAGCAATAACATTTTCTAGCCTTACAGTTTCAGTGACTTCAGATGTCATCTGTAAAACAGTAAGGAAAAAGGCAAGCAGGAATGGTAGCCACTCTGAATAGATGCAACATGAGTGAGCTTCCATCAGAGAAGCAGATGCCTGGTTTTTACGTAGCTGCATTCTCACCAAACACTTAAACTAGAGCAAATGTCATTCGATACAGTGAATTAAACGCAAGAAAATACGGAAGAATGAGAATGGCCTTAAAGGATGTGAAACAGACAAAGAAAAAGTTAATAATGAACAGCCACAGATCCAAGAATTTAAGCAAGTATCTTCAAGGAAGACTCACATTCCTAATCCAACATGGTAAAAAAGTTCAGTCTTGAAAGCATCCCTGCAGGTTTCCTAGACAAATACTAAAAGCCAGATAATATATAAATTAAGAGAAAAGGAAGACTAAGACCTATCATAGATGCTAACGCAAGCTGGCATTACACATGGACAACAACAAGATCTAATTCACATCAACTTGCGGAAGAGAAATCAGCACTGCAGTAGTAATCACTTTGTGAAATAAATTCATTTAGCCCTTTAGCACAGGCTATTTATAATTAATCTTGTACTATGCTTTGCCAAGTTTTGAGCAAGACATGCATGTTTTAGAAAGCTTAACCAGCAGGGGGAAGGGAGAGGATAAGCAAGCCTTCTGAACAAGAACAAAAATATATTAATAATTGTTTCTACAACAGAAAGAAAACTAAGCACCTAAAAATACCACAGTGGAGCTCTCACAAGCCTGCATTCTCCCTACATCCCCTCCCAGTAGCAGAGTAATTATAACATCTGCCTTTTAACGTTACACTTTATCACTCCACAGGAAGCAAATGAAAGGATTGGCGATGAAGAGCACATACGATTCTTGGATTTAAGACATATAGTCCCACTACCAAGAATTCTTCGTAGGCAGATAAGTCACGTAGGTTACTCTCAAGGAGAGCCTACAGCATACAGTTGCTCTGAAGAAACAAGACATCACTCAGGTTAATGTAAACCTAATTTTTTTTAGGAGAGGCAGACATGACTATCATCTGGGACAACTATTGAAAAGGGATAGCAACTCCACTCTCTCATTTCTCAGCCTGTTTCAAGAAAAATCAGTGACAGTTTCTATAAAGTCAGTGTAAGTAGATTATTAAACAGAGTTAAAAAGTACAGAGAATCCTATCCCGTATGTCCTATTCCAAGCACAGAAAACTAAAGCTTCAACTGTCAGTGCTATCCTCTTACACTTAGTATTGCTTCGAATTAGGTGTAGGTACAATCTACTCTATTTATACAAGGCTGCAATTTTTTTTAAAACTTCACTTCTAATTGTACATACAGAACACCATACAAGTGTTTCTGCATGTGCATAAAAGGGACAGAGAAGAATAAAAATACCAAGTCAAATGTGCCAAGATAAAGCACCCTTGGCTTGTAGAGAAAGTGGGGTTTTCTATAGTTGGGCATTATTAGGCTAGAACTTGATTGTCCTCAGATAAAAAAAACCCTCATTGACTTAAAAAGCTCTTTTACTGCAGCTAATCAAACTCCAAATACCTATGAAACAGCAGGATGCTAAACTAATCATGTAAAGATCAGCACAAGAGACAATTTAACACTAAACTCTGGGTGCTGTGTGCCTGGGCAACCAACCTTCCATCCTATACCAACCCAGCAAGGCAGCAGTGCTGGCCCCACTGTGCCAGGAAGGCAGAGCCTGGCTCTCCCCGCTCCCCCGCGGGCTCAGCCGCTCTCCCTCAGACTGGTGCCAGGAGTGTGCTTACTCACAGGTCTTCTCGCTCCACACACGCTGTGCTCTGCCTTCGGAGGCTGATGGCGATATGAGAAAGGGACCGGGTCAGGTGGTGGCTGGATGACAAGATGTATACTGCACGCTGGTCGCTGTATGTCCTATCTCCTGGGTGTGGGCCTAGACCCTGCTCTGAAGGAAAATGGGTCAATGGTAGAAGAGGTCTCCTAATGAGTTAACCCAGCAAGACTGAATCGAAACACTCCAACAGCCTCTTTGAACAGACTGAACACATGCAACGGGGTCTGCCCTGAAAGACAAATATGTTGTCTACTGTTTAAGTTAGATTAGGCGTGGCTGATACTTATGACCCAGTAAGATCAAAATCTAAGCTGGAAATAAAACAATTTCACCTTGATCTTGTTTGTTTGTTTCAGCTTCAGGTTTATTTGGGTCGGTTGGGGTTTTTTTACTACATCCTTCAGTCCCTGCTTTCAAGGGCACCTTGAGTTTCTCCACCCAGGGAGACACTGTCCAGGCCAACCCCCAAGGCCGCAGGCCCAGCGCCCGCCAGGCCGGTTCACAACTGCGCCGCCTCCCCTCCCCTCGGGCCGAGGAAAAGACAAGCCGCCCCCGGCAGCAGAAATGCCTCCAAAGGGATAGCTTTTTTTTTTTCTTCTTCCAGGGGACCTTTTCCGTCCCTCCTGTCCCGCCGCCCGTCTCCCAGTAACGGCCGCTTCTGACGGCTGACCCCTGCCTGCCGCCCTCACAGCCCGCGCCCCACATCGCTGCACCTCACACCGCCGCAGGGCCCACCGTGAGGCGCCGCAGGGCCGCCTGCTCGCTCCCTCCCTCCCTCCCGCAGCCGCCCCGTCAGGAGAAGCGCCGCCACTCGCGCGCGCACTCACCCACACCGCCGCCAACCGGGACCGCGCGGGAGAGCGAAGAGGAGGCCGGGCCAACCGCAGGCCCTGCCGAATCAGCCGGCGCGGACTCACCAATAAGCGGGCTCTCCTCCACCGGAAAGCAACGCTCCCATCCGCCGCCGCACCGCTGCCGGGAGGCGCGGGAGGCGCGGGAGCAGGTTTCCCTCCGGACGCTATTTAAGGCGGTGACGGCGTGCGGGCGGGAGGGGGTGCGGGTCGCCGCTGTTGCCATAGCAGCGGGCGCTTCCGGCGCGGCGGTGTCGGGCAGGCGTGTCGCGGAGGCGGGAGATACCGTTCCTCGTCGCCTTCAGGTTGCTTTCCCTGCGTGGAGGCAGGCGGTGGGGCCCGGGCTCTGCTGGGGCGCTGCCTTTGAGCTCCCTTCTAAGCCTCGTGGAAGCGGAAGGCAGCTCCAGCATCAGCTAGGACTCCCGGGCCGGGCTCGGGGTGGGTGTCGTGCTCGTTCCCCCCACCGGCGTTCGCGGGAAGGAGCTCCATCGGTGCTGCGGCAGGAGCTGGTGACCGTATGAAAATAAAATTTGACGTTCGTTGTCCAGCGGGTTGGCGAGGCGGCTCCTCCCCGCCAGACAGCTGAGGCCGCAGAGGAGAAACGCCGCCTCCTCCCGGGCTGGGCGCGGGGCAGCCCGCGGGACATCGGCTTTCAGTAGGACAGTCTGCCCAGCCCGTGGTTTTGTCACAAATGGTAAGAAGAGTTACTGTTGCTTCCTGCAATCCCGAACTAAGAGAAGCGCGTTTTTTCTCAAAAAGTTGCAGTTCCTGTAAAAGCATAGCAAATCTTTAGCTCAGCTTCTACAGAGTAACTGTGCAGCTGCTTTCTCTCTTTGAGTTGCTGCTAACGTGATACTAATGCTGAAGTGTTTAGAGGAGCTTTGTTTACTGTACTGCTGCATAATTAATACCAAGATTTGTTTTTAAATTTTCTCAATTGGTCTCTCTATGGCTCGAAGTAGACATAGTGAGCTAAGCAAAAGTCTCAAAATTATGAGACATCAAATAAGGTTAAATAAGAGATTTTTGCGTTCCTAACTTGCCTCTATGACTCCTTACAGACTTTGATTATTCATGGGTTGCTCTTAAAGAAAATTCAGCTCAATCCCTTCAGTTCTACAATGTTATGTGTGCTTAATTCTGTGTGCATGGGCAGTCCTGAATTGTTTGAGATGGGCAACTAGTAGCAAAACTACACGTTTAAGTTTATACTACTTCTTTGGCCATAAATGAGGAGAATACACTTAATCAGCACTTAGAACACTTTTAATTTGAATTGTGTTTCTATTTTTTTTTTGGTCCCTAAAAGGTCATATGAACTCTTGACTACAAAGGCCAGATGATTTTGTGTTAGAGGCTTTGTTTTGTTCCATTAGTGTGTGGAGATGCTTACATTTGTGTATTCAGCAATTCCATGTGCTTCTAAAATTTTGGCTGCTGATACCAGAGGCTTTGATGTATGCTTTTCTGCTCTTGTTCTGAAGGATTATCCTAGAGAAGCTGCAGTACAAGAAGATCTTTCACTGCTACTGGAGGACAGCAGAAGACTTAAAGGTAAGATGCATCAATGCACTGCTACAGCCCCTTTTTTGGTAAGAAAACTTATTAATTAGAGAAAAAGGGAGCTTTAATTTTATCTTTGGTGTTTTTCTTCAATATAAGAAGTTTTAAGTGAAAATATTCAAAGGTGTCTTTGATAAAAAGATGATAATTGTAATTTGCATTCTTTAATAAGTAAAATTTTGTAAATTTTACTTCAGTCTTGGTGGCATTATGCTAGCTTATGTAGCTCTTGTGCTTAGCTGAGAGGAACTTCTACTGCATGAGAATGTTGAGATCCTTTTGCCAATTGAACTATTCATGTCTCTAAATGGAAAATTTGGGGGGCACACACCTTTTTTTGGATGTGTTTTCCTGTTGTAATTGTACTGCAAATGCATATTTTTCTGCAAGCAGCCTTCACCATGAAAGTATATGTTTAATTCTTAAGAATCTAAGAAATCACATTGTCAGTGCCTTTTCCTGCTGAATCTCCCAGTAAGTTTCAGTCAGATTTGGGGAAGTGAAGGGTTTTTAAAGAAAATACACTTCTGCAAGTTTCTTGGATATCTGTGGCTGTGTAGAGGAAAGAAGCGCAAATCTGCACCCCCACATAAGGCCAAAACCCAATACTTTAGTTTCCTCTTTGATGCTTATAGAGGCAGCAGATAGCTGGCTTGTCAGTCTGTGTGTACTAACTGTGTGTAATTAGCAGTAGAGAAACACCAAACCTGCCACATCTGCCCAGCAAACAGTAGATGGAGAGCCTGCAGTCCTTTTAGCATAATTTAAAGCTATTAAGAAAATTTTTTGTAATTTATGATGACTGCTGGAAAATATTCATATTGCAGTTCTGTTTTTTTTTACTTAAAATTTTTTCAAGTTTGAATTTGCAGGGTTTTATTGAATAGATTGTCTGAGCTCAAATTACCATTTATATGGCATTTTCCCCCAAATTTTATGGAAGTAAGGTATTGTCATTTTCATAGCATACCAAAATAGATTTTGTTGATACCAACATTCAATACTGTATAAAATTGTGTTAAACAAAGCTGAGTCTTACTCTCATCATGATTTAAGTGAAGGGAAACAATTTTTTATTGCAGTAGATAATGTGGTTTCTGCAATATTGTTCACATCAATATTGTACATGTTGTTGAAATAATGCTTTGTGTCTACCTCTAAAATAGATATTTTGTCAGGTAATTCGACCGAGTATATTTTGTGTCCTTCCCCACAGATGATGTTTTTATTTCTCAATATGCTACTGGCCAGAAAGAGGCTTTGAGAGCAGTATTAAAGCAAAAGTAAGTATGTGGTATTGTTCGTGTCTTAGCTGTTCTGTTTCTGTACAGATATACTACTATACTTACTTCTTCAGTTTATGCCAAAATGCACTGCTGGTAAGGAAAAAGTGTTATTTATTGTTCTCTCTTAGTATTCTTTTTCTGACTATGAAGGTGTTTTCAGTTTGTCATTCTGAGCTAACTGTAGTATCTTGTTTATTTTGTCTACTTTTGGTAATGCCTTCAGACCATTTGAATTAATGTTTTCATGATACAAGAGTCAGGCAAGATCTGCTCTGATAGATAATTCATTTCGTATCAAAACCATGAAATATTTTTGAAGACAGATAAGGACACATGCTGTTTATCCACAGGCTGGAAATCTTGAAGATCAGAAATTTAGTTGGACTTTGCTAGTAGTACATTGAACTTTGCAAAATACAACCTGTAAGCATATTCTTTGTTGTGGTTGTAGTCATCACATGGAAATGCCTTTTATATTGAAATTTCTCAGGATTGTGTTACAAATTCTTTGTGTCATGCTGAAAGATAGAATAAAATTGTTTCTTAGCTGTCAAGAGCTTCAAGGAGAAATACTTATATAATTAGTGATATCAGTGCTCTGTGTGGGAAATCATCTGCTTGGAGGGGATGAAACAATGCTATTTACAGGCACTTGTTTATTTTTATAGAGCTCAAAATGGTCCTCTACTTAAGGAGGAGAAGGTACAGCTCTTAGGAAATGCCTCCACAGAGAAAAAGAAAAGCATTGGTTATGAGACCAGGTCAGCACACAGGGAAGTTGATTCTGCAACAACCATTGCAGCAGCAACTGCTGCTGCAATTGCTACTACCGCTCCGCTTCTTAAAGTAAGTGGTAATACTTTAAGTGGTAATACTTTAATACAAGTAAGCTTGTGGTAATACTAGTTCTTTGTCCATTTAAAATAGTAGATGTTTTAAGCGCGCCTGAAACTGTCGGTATTTGAGCCAGAGGGACTGAATGTGTCTGCATACTGTTTTCTCTGTGTTGATAATCTCAGACTTGCTGACCAATATATCAGAGAACTAACTCAGATTTGGCTAAATGAGCAAATGGATGGAGACCATTTGATTTGTCTTTTAGAGTAATTCATAGTATTGCTAAACCACCAGGCATGAGGGGTAACTAGGATTTTATTTGTGTCTTTTGGGAAGCAAATCATTCCATGATGGATGGGAAGGATGTTTTGTTCTCTTCATCGAATCACAGAATGGTTTGGGTTGGAAGGGACCTCTAAAGGTCATCTAGTCTGACTTCCCTGCAATGAACAGGGACATCTTCGACTAGATCAGCTTGCTCGGAGCCCCATCCAGCCTGACCTTGAATGTTTCCAGAGATGGGACATCTACCACCTCTCTGGACAGCCTGTGCTAGTATTTCACACCCTCATTGTAAAAAAATTCTTACTTCCATCTAGTCTAAGTCTACCCTCTTTTATTTTAAATCCCTTAGCCCTTGTCCTGTCATAACAGCTCCTGTTAAAAAGTTTGTCCCCATCTTTGTTATAAGCCCCCTTTAAGTGATGAAAGGCAGCATGCTTGCACCTCTTTTTTCCTTTTATTTTTTTTTCTTTCTTCTCTCCCAGGTTCAAAATGAATTGGAAGCAAAAGTTAACTCAGTTTCAGAATTACTTCATAAACTACAGGAGACAGACAGACAATTGCAGCGTCTTGCTGAACAGCAAATAAATACTAAGACTCAGCCTGAGAAGCCCTGCTATCATGAAGGAGTCAATGAGCTTGCAAAACAAATGAATACTTTCATGGTGCAACGGATTCAACATTTGGAAAAGTTACAGGAGCAACAAATGAATATGCAGGTGTCTAACAATGCAGATGCTTCAGCTTAATCGTTTCTTCTGTATCTCAGTGTTAATGTTATAATACTTCTGATTATATTTTAGGATTAGAAAGAAAGGTCCAGCGGCCAGCACGTGACCTTAGAGCTTTTGGGGAAAAATTATATTTCTGGTTCTGTCCCAGGTGTCTGCTCCTCTTCCCCCCGTATTTTTTGTGTCTGTGGAAAGTAAATGCAAAAATTGTGAAATGTTCTTGTTCCCACTAAATTTGTTTAGAGGTTAGTAATTGAAGAAACTTTTAATTTAATAACAGTCAGTCAAACAAAACAAAGAACAGTTATAAATTATTTCTTTATATACTCCTCCATGCTTTTTTGAAAGACAGAATAATATCCAAGCACATCTGTGTTCCAAGGTTGTTATAAATGACTTCTCTCAAATAGCATGTCAAAATGTGTTTGCTGTGATTACATGGCAAGTATTCATGCTTAGATATTTACTTGGGGAAACTTAACGCATAACTTGTAATTTTGTCTGTTAGTCTCATCTCATTAGCTTTGCAGTCAACACCAGTGGCTTACAGCAAATTCACCTGCCTTCCTCCAGTCTCATGACAAAACAGTCTGGGAAGCCAGAACAGCCATTTCTTACTAGCGGAGTGTCTTCAAGTCAGGGGGGTTTATTTCCTGCCAGTGGTCCACCTGCCCAAGGTGAAGTTGAATTCTTAATGTCTTCTGGTGTTAGTTTTGCATTAATTTTGTTTCCATTAATATTGAATTGTAGACCCCACCAGTAATAAGTAGTAAATATTTCTTCTGTATAATTGGTTTTGTTGCCTAGTATAGTATATAATGGTTGGACTCGATGATCCCAAGGGTCTTTTCCAACCTGAATGATTCTATGATTCTATAATATATACCACTTACTCTGAAAATGTTCCGTTTTAAATTAAAGTGAGAATTTGGTATTTACAAAGTACTTCATCTGCACCAAGAGAGGCCTCGACTTAACCTAAAATAATCTTACTGAGAATTTTTTTCCTAGATTTGTTTTCCTATGAAGAAAATTGTTATCATTTAAATAACTTTAATTTTCTTTTTCCCTGAAGTGTATTCAAGCCAATTTCAAAGTCATGGCACTTGTACACAAAAATCTCCTCTAAAGACACCGGTTCCTCGGAGATGTGCTCCAGAACCTGTATCAAAAAATGTGAACATCTCAAAGAAAGAAAACTCTGTAACAGAAAAGGAAAATATTCCCAAATCCATGTGCAAAGGTACTGTAAGACACTTGACATTCCTGGCATGAATAGTATGTCCTGAGGTTTACTTTGTGTGGTCTTCACCTAATCTGAGCTGTTGGGTTGCTGGCACTTAAATACATATAGTCAAAATATTTGAAAGTATTTCTGGGAAGGGTTAATTTTGTGGATAAGTCACTTATTGTTAACAATAACTAATGACTGAATGGCAGTACTAATCTAATCTACAGTGTTTTAACATGATTGCTGCCTGAAGTGTTTTCTTAGATGAAATTCGAATGACTGTTTGTTGTCAGGTTTAAGGAAGATTATATAGATTAATGAAAAACCTCCTATCTGCTCAATAACTTAGTCATTATCATTGGTTGAACTGATTTATTCATTTTTTTCATTAAAACATGTATTCATAGAGTCCCTATGCCATCATAATGAAAATAGCGTTTGTAAAGCAAAGGGAATAATTTTCTTTTGCTGCTTTGATCAGTTTAGTGGCATGAAACTGAGTTTTGAAGATGTCATCAAAAAATAAAAGCGTCTTTTTTTTTTTAGCTGGTTGTGTTTAGGCTTGCTTGAGGATCCTCAGATCAAGGAAGAACCTTTATAAGATCCAGCCATTGTACTCTATCGCAGCCTGTGATGGGCCTGTTTGTGTTTTCATCAGATCTTTCTCAGACTGCTGCTTCTGTCTCCTCTTTTTTTTTTTACAAATCTCTCACATATTGCTATTGTTCCATGAGTCCAGGAAGAAATGAAACAGGACAAAGGAAAAAGAACAATTCTGTGACATTATGGATAGAATGTTTCTCTGTGACTCAGTTAATTGCTGTCACAGTTACATTTATCTGTTTTCTGACTTTGCTAATGTAAAGAGTCATAGTAAAACAGATTAGTGAGAGTGGGTTTATGTGACTTGTCTTACCTGAAGTAAATCTGTATTTTAAAATTTAAGAAATGATTTTTACTATCCTTTGTGATTATTATGTAATGGTGAAATTTCTGGAAAGGAGAAGAAAGTATTGAACAAACTAACAGTAAATATAACTTTCCTTTTTTTCCTGCCTTAGGTGAAAGGCAGTTTCTTGAGCATATTCTGAATTCTCAAGAAATGCCACTGAAGCAAACTGAGCTTTCAGAGAAGGCAACAACAGAGAAGGCAACTTTCAGAGAAGGCAACAGTAATAAAATGAGCTGGCATTCTGAGAGAAACAGGTAAATAAACGTAACAATCTAAAATCGAGGAAGATGTTTTGTTTTAATGAAATGGAGAAAGGTGTATTAGATATTGATGGTGTAATGGAGGCACAGGCATGGTCCTTGAGTCTGACACAGCTGTGCTTGAAGTAAGACCCTGGAGCACTGATATTTGTATGCTACTTTTGCATTTCTGTCATACTGACAGTAGATGAAGCTCGTTGCTAAGGTCAGTTTGTAACACCTTTCTCAGAGGTCAGTAGGTGTTACTTGAAGTTGCTTCTCTGTGTTCTGAGTGTATTTCTTCTGTTGCAGCAGCTTGTAGAGTAGTGTCAGGGAGCTAGGCATTGTGTGAAAGTGGGATTGCCCTTGTCAGTGAGACTCCAAGCTGCCTGCGTACGGAGCATCATCAGCCTGCCAGTTGCTTAAGGTTTAGAGTGAGTTAGGAAATTTTTTTAGCCATCCAGTCTGAAACATATTTTCCCCAGGAAATGTTAGTTTAGTGAAATTATGAAATCAAACTAATATAATGAGAGACAGCTACATAGATACTATCTTATTTGTGATAGTTTAGGCAAAAATATTAATTGCTTCAAATGAACAGGTATCCAAAGTTTAAATGTTGCTCTCTTCGATCTGAGTTTTAGATGTAGTTTCACTGTTCAAAGTACAAGGATACAGCACAAGTTGTTAAGTGGTAAATACAGAAAACCCAATAATCTGTCTTTAACCTCAGGTGAAAAAGCCAATTCCATTTTATGTAAAGGTTGTGTATTCTTGTATTTTAAATTCATGCTTAGTTTCAAAGTTGGCTACTTTCTTGGGCCACATGAGGGACCATGAGACTTATTAGGAGTGTTTCTCCCATCAGGCGTACTGCTTTGCGTACAGACTCATTCCCCGCTTTTGAAAGCTCCTTCCAAAATTGCAATTCAATTGAGAAAACGGTGAAAAAAGCAGATGATTTACTTCAAGATCTTGGCCAGTTGAGAAGAGAAATGCATGATGTGCTACAGGTAAAGTCCATGTTATCAGAAAGACCAAGAGTTTGAATAAGGGGAATAAAAAACATGGAGAAAAACTTAGAGGTCTGGTATCAATAGCAGTGTTGCCCTTGTTTCTGCCTCTGTGAAAAGACTGATGTTTGTTTACAAGTACTTGAAATGTTGCAGTCTTTGTATGTGGAAGGGCTTTGAGCCTGAGTAATGTCTCAATGAGTTTGCAATGGACTAGCCTGGGCTGTAGAGACTCTTACTGCTGTTCCACCAAACATAAAACAGGTTAAAAAAATGTTTTTTAATTTATTTGTTTTAAGGTTTCAGATATTTTCAATGTCTGTTTTCTGCTTGCTCTCTTCCTCTGGTACTAGAGCTATGGAGCTGCTGTACCATTCCCATTCGGGAAAGAACAATGTTATATTTATCTGCACTCAAATTTAGGGAAGACTTAAGCTACTTCCTTTATCATTTTGCCATTTCTTTTTCTAAAGAGTGTTGTTTCCAATAGCTGCTTGGCATATGTCATTGTATTGTTCCTCATATGAATGATTTTGTGCCTCTGGTGCTGGAATGGTTTTGTGCTGGGAACATATAACGTGTCTGGCTTCTGAAGATTGAGGCTTTAATGTGTTAACCTGGTTCCATGTGGAAGGAAGGTTTGCCCGATCATTTAGCGTCTGTCCTGTGGTCCTCTCTGTGTAAACGTAAGCTGTGGGAGAGAAGAGAGACTTTAATGTCCACAGGATTGTGAATTGGCTTGGAATGTCATAGGTTTGGTTCTGTTGGTTTGTTTCTGTGGTTGAAGGTTTCAGCTTGCAATTTCCCTAAAAATAATGTGTATCACGTGCCAGTTATTTGTTACTGTAGCTTTAGAAAACGTAGCTTCATCCGTTATAGTATAGCTGATACATTGTTTCATGGATTTTGTAAGGTATTAGTGGATTGCACATTTATCTAACTGTTCTTACTAGTAAGAGAGAACCGATGTCATGTGCCCTATTTATGTTGCAAATATTTGCTTACCACTATTGCAAAAAAATTCCATTGAATAACATACCTTAGGATAGGTAGCACAGAACATGACGAGATGGGAGAAGGAATAGCAGGTAAGAAAGATCACAGTTGACATAAACAGATTCAAATATTCTTCTTTCTTATGAAAAAGGTCAGTAGAAAGACAGAGATGATTAATTCAGCAAATGTGGAGTTAAGTCAATTAAATACTTAGCTATTGACTCCTCATTATTAAGAGATAGATGCTTGGGAAAATAAATGCATGGAATAAATGACTGCTAGTGTTGTCATACAAGCAAATGAAAGGCCTGAATTAGGCTGAGACAGAACAGAAGGTGATGCTCTAACCCTAAAGAAGCATGCAGTGAGATTTAGTAGTTCACAAGGAATTCATTGTGCTGATTTAAATTGATCAGATAGCTACTCTAGATTTTACCTTGACAGAGATATCTTTCAATAAGTTTCAACAGCTCTTCTGTATTTTTAGGAAGCAAGTTCATGGAAATCAGACATGAATGATCTCATTAAGGTATACCTTGATTATTTTTTTTAATGCCTTTTTAAAAAAAATATTATTATACTGAAACAGTTTTGGATAAGCTTGCAATAAGATAATATTACAATAACTATGCATGCTGGTATTTTTTTGAAAAATTTGGTATATTGTTCTTTTCTCAGCAGGCTAAACCAAAATAATGGAATCAGTGTGTTGACTTCGGTTTTGCTATATCCATTGTGCTTTGGCAGGATACCTGTTAGAACATAAACTTTTGTTCAATTCTGATTTGATAAAAGGTAGCCTTAAAGCCAAAACTGATTTTTGATCTGTGAGATTTTTCTTCAGTTCATTCAGTTAATGCTTTATGAGTCTACTCAAGTTTTAGGTTTTTGGTTTTTGTTTGAGGATTTCTTTTTCTTTACATTCTTTTATCACTTTTTAATTTTTTTTTTTCTTCCTTTCTGGAAAACGAAGCACTCTATTTGGGGCCCTCTGGGTTTCACCAGGGGTGTGAGAATGAATGGGAGAACTATAGCTGTATGGCTCATTTCCCGTGTACTTGTGTCCCTTCTGTTTGTATTTAGCAGCTAATATATGCTCAGTTTTTATCTCTCTGAAAGGGTTCTGCAAAGTTAAAGGCTAGTAGTTAATTCATTATTTCTTATAAAAAGTAAAAATTGGGGAAAGAGGGAGAGAATCATGGTGCTTGTTGAGGGGTTTGTTTAATTTGTTGTTGTTAAAACTTAGGCATGTTGCCTGGTGTTTCTTGGGATAGATTGATGCCAGATCATAGAATAATGTGGCTTGGAAGGGACCTTTAAAGGTCATCTAGTCCAACCTCCCCTGCAGTGAGTAGGGTCATCTTCAACTAGATCGGGTTCCTTAGATAAGTGTATATATTTTGAGGACTTTGGTTTTTATTATGCTTTCAATTCTAGTTCAGTATCGTTAAATGCAAATTATATTGCCTGCAATACCTATTTATTGTATCTAATTGCTGGTTTTTCACATGCTTGTTTGCTTCGTTAGCATTGCTTCTCATACATGATATCATTTAGTATTTGAGGGCTTTTGGATGCCTTTCCATTTTCTTAAGTTTTAAATATATTCACATCCTACTAAATGTTCTTGAGTAAATCAAGCTGATGACAATACACATAGATAGTATTTCATATGATGGGCATTGTTTTGATAATAGATTAACAGGAATTCTGATCAGTGTGTAGAAAACTTAAATCACAATCTCTGATTAAAAGCTAGTGGTTCTGTTTTAATTTTAGTCAAAAAACCCTGCTGTTGCCTCTGATCTTTCTGAACATCATCAGCTCAATAAGTCATCCATTCTTCAAAACGTTGAAGTGCCAAAATCTATACTGAGAGATGCTGAAAGGATTTTGAGAGGAGTTCAAAACAATAAAAAAGTTTTTGAAGAAAATTTGGAAGCTGTCATTCGTGCAAAAGATGAGGATGCCATGTATACTTTTATTAACGCCTTGACTACAAACAGGTTAGACACTATTATTCCGTGCTTTGTGTGACTACTCATTCTATGTGCTTACCTTTTATCAACTCTCAGGTTCTTTTAATTCCATGCATTGAAGTACTAGTGCAGTACCCTGAAAAAAGTATTTATTGATTCTTCTTTGCAATCATGAGATGATTCATTGGGATGTTAAATGTTTTTTGACCTTCCTGATGTGAATTGAATTTTTTGATGGATACCTGTTACTACTTGGTATGATCTATGCTCCAGAACTTAAATCTGAATTCTGAGACTCTGTCATCTGGACAAACTGCTCTGCTGTCATGACAAAGAGGCATTTAGCTTTTTATAGGCAAACATGCATTAGTAGGAAAATTAAGCAGTAATTCATAATGCTAAGCAGAATAAGCTTCATTAACCTGTAAATGTTACAGAATTAGTCATCCTACAGCAGATCATTGGCTTTTGGACTTTTGCTTAGTTAGTAGTGTTAATGTGGTTTAACCTCAGCTGACAGCTAGAACCACACAGCTGCTCACTCACTCTCCCCAGTTTGAATGAGGGAGAGAATCGGAAGAGTAAAAGTGAGGAAGAAGGACTGGTGGATCTTCCTTCTTCTTCTCTCAGCTTTATGTGCTGAGCATGATCTCATATGGTATGGAACGTCCCTTTGGTCAGATGGGGCCAGCTGTCCGAGCTCCTTCTCCTTCCAACTTCTTGTGCACTCCCAGCCTGCTTGCTGTCAGGGTGGTGTGAGGAACAGAACAGGCCTTGAGAGCTTAGCAACAACTGAAAACACCAGTGCACTGTCAAAAGTATTTCTCATCCCAAATACAAAACATAGCACTATACCAGCTGCTAATATAAAAGTTCACTCTATCCCAACTGAAACCATGACAGTTAAAACCTCCTGCTTGAATCATAATGAAAGTTTTCCTATTAAAATGCTCCTTAATCTTGTGGTCTTTTGAGGACAGTAACTATTCTCTTCATGTAAATATTTTTTCAGGCATGATAGCTGCCATCATTATCTTTTAAAGGAAGTAGTAATTTTTGTCATCTGTTTTTTGTCATTTGAGTTGGATTGGTTTTGTTGCCTTGTTTTTTCAGGTTTTGATCAAAATGGGAACTGACACACGGCTGCCACTTATTCACAGATGTATATAATAAAGATTGAATATGCAAGTTGGGTGCAGGGTTTTGATTTGGGAAACTCAGGGTATGCTTAGTGCCTTTTGGAGGCTGCAGGGGTATATAATCTTACTGTCTCTGTGTTCTGGGTTACTTTTTTTAAAATGTTGGTAGGTCGCTACTTTCCCAGGATCAAATCTGCAATTTCAGAATCGCTGACCTAAAATACTTATTTCTTCTATTTCAGAGATGTATTGGAAGAGATCCGTATCAGAAAGACTGTGGATGAGTGGATTAAAGCAATCAGTGTAGAAATCCAGGTATGCCTGGAAAAAATGAGTTCAGGTTTTTGCATTGTATTTTTCCACCTTACATTGTTCTTTCATGTCAAAAGTTAAACATGATTTACTCACAACTTGAAAACATTAGAAAACTGCTTATTATTACTAACATGTACTATGTTATAATAAAATATTTACCTCTGTTTTTAAACTTCCATTGCTTAATGAAAATCACTGGTCGCGGTTGCTGGCTAACATGAAAAACACGCCATTTCTCAGAACTTCAAAGGCATCCACAGACTTTTCTGATAGCCTTGAAGATAAAATCTCCTTTTATTATGTTTATGTTTAATCTTCAGGCTGAAATGACAAGAAATGATTTGGAACAAGCGAAATACGATCAAAAGGTCCCATGGATTGAGAGAGCCCGCAACATCAAGACTATCAAAACCAATAAAGAAATTAAAGCAAAAACTCAAAAAATCCAAGGATGCTTGACAAAGAATCCTTTATCAGCAGCTAAGCCGTTGCAGAAGCAAGGAGAAGATAACATGAGCAAACAGAGGTTTAGAACTTATTTTTCTTCTGAAAGTTTGCAGAGGAAAGAAAAAAAGGCAGCTGTGAGTTCTCAAGCAGTTGGTTTCTTTTTTGGTAATGACTGCTATGCTTTAGATTGCAGTATATGTAACAGTAATAATTTTAAATTAAAATGATAGCCTTGTCCTGTGCGTTGCTGTTGTCAGAATTGTCCTTGTTTTCATGTGCTGTAGAAGCCGAGGCTGAGTGTGTGTAAAAATGTAGAATTCATTGTCATGTTACTGATTGTCTACTAATTGGTCTAATAGCAATACTAATAGCACCTGCTATTTTATCCAGCTGTTGGTAAGCTTCTTGTATGTATTCTGTATGCATAAGTTTTCATTTGTACTTCCAATTTATACTACTTCTTGCAGAACTTCTTATTTTTTTCCCTCTAGACTTTTGCAACACTACTGATGTATTCAAATTTTCATAGATTTTCTTTTTGTGTGTGTACATGAAGAATTGTAAACTACCTTTTTTTTATGTGTGTCAGGGACCTGTGAATGGAAGTGCAATGGTACAAAATGAAGACAATCTGTGTCAAGTCTATGGGAAACCAATTTACCAGGGCCATCGTAGCACACTTAAAAAAGTACCATATCTGAGATTCAACTCTCCCTTTCCCAAATCTAAACTTCAAAGACCCAAGCTGATAGAGCGTGTTAGGGGTAAGTACCTTCTTTGATGTGATCAAAGTGTTTCTTCCCAGATTTTCTATTAGGAATTCCTTATATAAATGAAATTATTTGATTGTAGTTCAACTGTTCTTCAATTTAAAGTTCAAGCAACTGCAGTAGACTTCCTGGAGAGATGTCCCATGTTTGTCATTGTTTAAGATGAATTTGAAAAATACCCTTAAATGCTTTAACTTTTGGTCAGCCCTGAAGTGGTCAGGCTGTTTGACTAGATTATAATTGTAGGTACCTTCCAACTGGACTATTCTATTCTAAAAGATGCTCTTTTCAAAACTAAAAAATACCAGTAGGTTTTCAGATTTGCTTAGTGTGTATTGCATTTATTTTAGATTGTAAAATAAGTACTTAATTCTAAATTTAATAAACTTATTAATGTGTATTTATTGTTGCCCAGATCTTAAACAGCTGAATTGCTAGAAGTAATGACCTGAAAACTAACTCAGTTTTTGATAAAGACTGCTGAGAGGTGTATTCTTCGTGTCAGGTGTATCCAGTTACGTTACTTAAATGAAGAGTTTAGAAATCCACTGAGATTTGAAAAGTTAAGGAAGCCAGATAATCCATTTCCCACTTCTAATACATGAATTGAAATATGAAAGTTTAAAATTATTGGTGTGAAGATGACATCTCTTAACTTGAAAATATTGAAAGACACATTAATCTGAAGCATTGTTTAATGCCAGTAACCTCTTTTGTTAGTCAAGTCAGGGTTAAAAGTGAAGTATAACTCTTTGGTACTAGCTTGTTAAGGTTATTAGTTGATTAATAATGAATTCTATTCACTAGTTTTGTAGGCAAAGTGTTAGGATCACAAGATTCTAATTGTCAAGCCTATTAAAATATGTAAAAATAATAAAAAAGTGAAACTATGATATCTGACATAGGTAAGTGTAGATGAACTCTATCTTGAGTTATTAGAAAGTACTGTTTTAAGTGGATCTGTTTTTATTTCCTAGTTCTCTTTTCAAAACTAAACTGATTTTTAATACAGAAGCTAAGATTGATCTTTAACTGATATGTCAGAAAAAGTAATGCCTATCATCTTCTTACTGCAGGAGAAAGTGAGGAAATTACATAATAGAAGATAAAGATAGAGAGAAAGTGTGTTAAGTGTAAGAGGCAATTAAAGTGGGCACAATCGAGTTAATAGAATGAGTATTGATGGAAAAATATTAGTTGGCTTCCCTCTACACTTCTTGCACTTATGCTGTTGTTACGTATGCAGGGAAAATATACTTGATACAATCTTAATTGTGTGAAAAAAAAAAGTGCCCATTTTCATTAGAACTGTCAAAATATTATATTCTGTGTGAAATATAAGAGATTAACATGAGAAGGCAGTCACTTGATGAAACCATGGTTTTAGGCCATTAAAATGCATCATATAAAACATATACATGTCTTTGAAGATAAGCACTGCTGGGGTTTGGTTTGGGTTTTTTTGACACTATGATGTGATCCACGGTGGCAAATCCTCAAAATAGTACAAGAATCTATTGTTAAGCTTTATAAGCTTAGTTAAGTGTAGTTTTTATGCCATTTCCTGATGCTTTTCTTACCTTTGCTTTGGAAAACTTTATTTTTTTAAAGGTGAGAACTTGGTATCAACAATTCTTTTTGACTACTGGCTATGCTGCACACCCATAATTTAGTTTATTTTGTAGATTTTTTTTTTAATAAAATTTGTGCTAATAAGCACTTAGTGTAGCAATAACAGTGAAACAGTGACTGCTAAGATTTGAACTGAGAACAGACAATTCTTTAAAAATATTTAATCAGCAATTCTGCCTTTGCTGAGTCCTAAATGTCGTTTTTCTTCTATATTTATTGGGCAATAGTGTCCAATAAGGTCACAGTCTTTCCAGGGAGGCTAATTTCATAATTCCAGAAAGAACACCTTGTAAAGAGGCAGAAAACGTCCCCCACTCCCTCCCAATCTAATTATAATTAAGTTGGTCATTTGATCATTTGATGCTACTAGTTTTCTGCTGGTATTGTGTTTAATTCAGCAGTGTCAGTGAGATGTAAGTTACAGGTTGCATGCAGTTGTAATAACCTGCTCCTGTGGTTTAGCTTGTTTTCTGTTGGAGGTGAATAGAAATGAAGGAGAAAACTGTGTACTGGATCCGTGCTGCATTGTCTTCCAGAACTCCTGTGTGTGACAAATACAGATTAAAAGCTCTCTGCTTGAAAACGGAATGAACTCTGTACAGCCTTTACCCAAAGTGATTCTCTTCCAAATCATTGTCATGCTACAGCAGTACAGCAATGTGTGTGCTTGCAAGAATAAAGCTGCCATAAAACTAATTTCTCTATTTCACATCAGACTGCAGTTACAGAGAGTTATGGTTTTGTTTCTGTCATGACAGTAAATAAAATAAGACAACCCCTTGTATTCTTATCTAAGAGAAGAAAGGAAGGATAAGGATTTTTTTGCATGTCGCTTAAAAGAATAACACTCCAATGAATATGTGTCCTATTTCCAAGTTTTCTGATTTTAATGGCTTTTAGACTGAGGTCAGCCTTTGTTTGATACAGGCATTAGTTGTCTTTGACTCTTAAGACAATTTGTCAAGCTACTTTTAATTTTTTGGGCTTTGCTAATGAAATGGAAAAGTAGTACTTCTGTGTTTGTCTTATGAAGACAAAATAGTTAACACTTTTTGAGGGCTGCTATTCTGAAAGATGCTGTTATGGCAGGAAAGTATAAATAACAAAATTAGGAACAGATCTGTACTCCTCTGTAGTAGGAGTGGAAATAAAATGAAACAAAATTGAACGCGTTCTTAAAAAAAAAAAGAGAGAAATCTTGCTCACTTTAGGCATGGTTAATTCTTTCCTTCAGAGATCTGCACCCCCAGATTCCTTTCCTGGCCTTGATATACCAGGTGATAAAGGCTTAAAAATTATTGGAAGTCGTTGGCCTTGGGTTTGATTGGCTGGAAAATCCAGACTTACTAAATTACTCTATTTTGTTAGAGCAGCCCACTGAGCTTGATTTAAATTAGCGTTAGAAAGAGGATGTTTATTTAAGACTGAAATGGCCATCTGGAGAGTCTCTTTTCAGTCATTTTATAACTTTCTCAACCATTTTCTTTGCAAATAAACTGTAGTGATTAATGCTTGGTTTCTTCTGAGAAATTAGAAGAAAAATCCAACTAACGCTTTTATGAGTAAGAGAGCATTTCTAGAAAAAAAAAAAAGTTGGAGTTGTTTTCTTGCATAATTTGAACTGATGTAAAATACCAGGGTTTTCTAAAGCTAAGTTTAATTAAATATCTAGTTTCTGCCCAGCGCAAATAAACTTTTCAGGGGGAAATGAAAAGTTGAAACCAATTAAAATGAGGTGCTGTTTGTATACAGTACTTAATCATTCTTACTGTGAGAACCTTGTTTTTACAAGTTGGCGCTATTACAGATATGTTGCCAATTTCTGCTTTTACTCAAAAGTTCTAGGCCAGGGGGGACTGTAAGATCATGTGGTATGACCTCTTCTAAATCACAACCCACTGAACTGTATCTGTTTATGTTACTGAGTCCAGTAATTTGTCTTTGACTAAAGAAATTTTTTCTGGCTAACCTATGCTTTGCAGAAAGACACATGCTCATCATTTGAAGACATCAGAAATTCTGCTCTTAATTATGACTTCCCATGGCTAGATACCTTACAGTTCAAAAGTAAACAGGACACTTCAAATTTAGTATCTGATTTATAGTGAATTTTTGGCTTCAGTTTCCAGGTGTTTTTCCTTAAAAAAAATGAAAAAGGCCTTTTAATGTCTGATCTATTTTGAGATGCAGAATTAGTAGTGAATGCAGTATTATCATTGGTTACCAATGCGATTCTTTCCAGGTTCATTTTCCTAGCGCCTACAAAATAGCAGTAGAAGCGCTTGTATTTGATTTATGATTGTTGACTCCTTTTTTGTGGATGTTTTTATCCATTTAGATTGAAGTTAATAATTTCCCTAATAATATCCAATGTTTGTAAGGAATATAGGGTGAATAAGACCTTGCATTACTGTATAGCAAGAAATGCAACATTGCAATAAATGATCTCCTCTGCTATATGCTTAGGCTTTGATACATACAAATTACTTCTGGTTAGCTATTTAACAGTACATTTTCAGAGCTGGACCAAAAAATCTGAGCTTCCTTGATGTTGCAAGTCAAGACTTATGGCTATTAGTTGTGGCTTTATTTTCTAGTAGCAGCGAGTTGCTAAACCAGGAATTTGTAGATTATACCTGTTCCTTGTCAGTCTTCTGGCTGGAGACAAACTGCATGTTCATAAAACTGAGGCAGTTAATCAGATGAACAGAAGATAAGTTTGGCTATCTTCTATATTCCTTCTATTTTTTATGCCAGGCTTGCATGCTCTTCTAATGTTGTATTTCAGACCTGAATCGTGGTTTTCTTCTTAGCTGATAAATCATATGTTTCATTCCAACATAGTACCATTCTTGTGTCCTTTTCTTCACATTTTTGTACCTTTATTTGCTAGATTCAGGTGTTCAAAAATTGTAATTTTAACTCCTTCATTGCTGTCAATACTGAGACATCCAACATAGTGCTTTTAGATTCTGCCCTTCCTCCCTCTCTCCCTCATTCCCTCCATCCCACAGCAAAAATTTATAATTGTTTCAGTAGAAGGGCTTAAATTAGTAGTGTGTGATGTTACTGGGTTTGTACATGTGTTGATCACATGCAGTTTATCTTCTCTTGTTTCAGGTACAAAGGTAAAGTCAGCAAGAACACAGACTTGTTCCCTCACGCAGAAGGTGGTAACCAGTCCTAGGAAGCAGCATCCTTTGTGTGCCCTTGCCCAAGAAAATCAGTATCTCTTTAGTCCACGTGGAGACGTGTCTGCTGTTTGCGATCCACTCGAAGATCAACTTATTCCTGTGGCTATTCCACTAGGTAGGAGCAAATAACCTATAGACGGATGCATGGAGGTTAACACCTGCTACTTCATGGAAATACAACTTACATCTTCTTCAGGCAGTGATTTGGCCTGACCCATGAGATTTGCAGCTGCCCATCTTGTGGGAAATCTAGATGGGGTAACAGTTTAAAATGTTCTGGTTCTTGTTACTCTTTATGCTGGCTGTCTGGTGACACCCTGACAGAGCAATTGTTTGCTTAGCTGTACATAGCTTCTTTGGTACACTTTATATTTCTAGGGTTCTTGCTCTGGCTTTAAGTTTGGTGTCCATGTAAGCAGGAACTGAATCATTGGCACTTGGATTCGACATTTGTGATGACTTAAGTCCAATGATTTCAGTGGGATTGTGTCAAACACACTAAATTGATTGCCATATTGCCTCTATATTTTTGGACCTTCAACAGAACTTTTATACAGGTCTTGTTTTGGGAAGGGTTAATATTATATTGGCATTTAAAGAAAATAATTATTAAAGAGAAAAGGTGTCTCAAAAATTTGTGGGATGCTATACTAAGTGTAATGGTGTTTTGAATATGGTTAGGAAAATGTGAGATGGAGGACGCGTGTAATTTTTGAACAGCAAACACAGTAGTTGTTCTGGTTTCCAGCAGTAGGTGTCACCATAGTCGAGAAAAGTGAATAATTTCAAAAGATGACAGTGTTTACAGTTTCTGCTGGGAAAGCACTATACTTTACCCAATGTTAATAGGGGACTTTTTAATTGGTCTGTAATCTCATGTGAAATACAGACATCCAGAATTTAATGAATTTATTCATTTACTGACTTTAGAGATTTATGTATATCTTTAGTTATTTTTAAACTGTCCTTAGGTCAAACCCAAATTAGCGACACCTCACTGCAGCCTGCTGGAGTAGTTACAGGTAAACCGCCCCCAGTTGCAGTTACAACCTCTCTTCCTCAAGTGCCACCAAAACTACCAGCTGAGATAAAAAAGCCAAACGTAGCTGTAATACAGATGAGATCAGAGAAGAAGGATTCACCTCAACTGTCTGTGCAGGTACGTGTCAGGAATGATGAGTATTTGTTTATTTTAATAAAGGCTAACTAAAGACAGTCTCATCCATCTTTGGTATCATCCTGCTTTGATATCAGTGGATGGTTTTCAGTAAGCATTAGAAACAAATAGACTTGAGTGACCAAAAAGTTGTGATGCTATGCTAATATTTTTATTCATATTTTAACAATTATCTTTATTATTTAACCAAAATAGAAAATCTTCACCTATGTGGGGTGTTTGTAAAATAGTTCTTTGTTACAAATCTCATTAAAAAATATGAGCAAGAACAAACTTTGAATGAAAAGAAGTATTAAAATAAATATCAGTTTTCTTGGATGAATGCTTTAGCCTTTAAGATTTCTGTTTCAAGCATGATGATCATCCCCGGATTAATCAACCATTGCAGTCCTTACCTAGAGAGTTGGTTGTTGTTTTTTTTTTTTTAAATTTTTTACACGAGTCTGTTGTCAAGGAAGTTAATGTTTCTTATGTGTTCATTATTTTGCATTCAAATTGTTGAGGATATACACACTGCTACACACACCTTTCAGATACAAATGATTAATGGAACTCAAAGTTATGTAGAGGTAGAGTATGTGGCTATTCCAGTGCTGTATCACTGCTTTCTTCCCATGTGCATTTTGCTGTTATTTCACACAGTTCTTAAATTTTTAAGATGATTTTTGTATTATTTTTACCCCAAAGAATTAATCAAGCATTTAAATATATGTTCTTTAAAAAAACCCCAACCAAATACCAAAAAACCCCAACCAAAACCGTTTTGATGCTGTAATGGACGTGCCTTCGTTACAAACTATATCGTAATACAATTATCCCTTTATTTTACCCTACCAGATGTATGACAACATGAAACCACTAACCAGCCTATCACAGTGGCTTGCAGGCCAAATTAGTGTAAACATGCTGCCAAGTCAAATACACAGCTGCTATATATATAGTTAAGGATATAGTCACCTTTTGTCACATGCAAGACAAAGCGTAAGGGAATTAGAGAACAGGAGAAATCAGGTACTGCAAGAAAAGAGGTGAACATTTCTGGGGTTAGTTTTTGTATGTTACAGCATTTTAATTTTCAGAACCAAGTTATTATCAGTTACAGGTATGAGAAAAGGAGATCACTGAAATTTAGTGGCTCAGTAGCATGAGGAAGAAAGAATCTAAAAAATTCAATGATAGTAGCTCAGCTAATACACAGATTTTCAAGTTGGTGCTTTTTCTCTCTTCTAGGTGTTACCAAATGTAGATATTGACAGTATTTCAAGTGGCAGTGTGAGTGTAAACCACGTTCTTCCAGACTCTGAACCTGTACTTTCTCCTGTTGATGCTGGAATACAGGTATTCCAGGTATTGGTCTAAATATCTGGGAATTCAAATTTGTTAAAATTTGTTAAATTACTACCAAGTTACCTTGTTATCTTGTTTTAGTTAGAGAAATTAGACGGTTCTGGGAAGAACTGAGTAATTCTGCATAATTTATAGGATGAAGTATTTGTTTAAGAAAATAAAAAATTGCAGCAAGACACTGTTCTTCCAAGATTAAGTAATCACCATAGCAAAACGCTGAGAAAAACAGCATTTCTCTGTCCTGTTAACAGTTGTAGTCCCTTATTGGCCTATGTCTGTTGTGTTTGTACTGGCTTCAGTGTTCTGGTACAAAGACTGAGGATATTCTTCGTTCCTCTATCTGCTCTTTGCTTGTACTGAAGTGGTTAGTGGCATGTATGTGTAGCCTGTTCACTGGTAGCCTGCTGTATGTGGCAGACTGTGGCCAGTCTACTCTAGTCTCTTTCCATATGACTTTTCAGAAGTGTTTTTAATCTAATATAATCCAAGCAGTAATGAAAGTTTTTGTGCAACTAAAGGGTTAACTGCTGCACGCTGAATGCTAGGGTTGTAAGCTAGGGCACATGGTTACAGCACAGCATATTGTTTCTTCCAGTGAACTTGTGACTTGTGCATTGCACAGTCTGGACAGTGTAATGGCACGGTAATGCAGTGATTATTTTTCTATAGTTATTGTGCCTTCTGTTTTCCCTGTGTGTAAGCTGCTAGTCTGACTTGAGGAGTTAGATCCTCCAGAGTCCTCTGGTCAAGGTACTCACTAAGTAAGACAGACCTCATAGAGTAAAATAGCGATTGTTATTTACAAATGATAGTATTAAATCACACTGTAGAGATCACACATAAGTAAATTCCTTAAGACACTTCGAGACTCTTGTGTGCTATGTTTTACAATATTTTGTCATACTGATTTTTTAATAAGAGTTACAGGTATTGCCCAGAACTTCTGATGGTGAAGTATTCTATTAGGTTTGGAAACAGCAGGTTTTAGTTTTCAGCATACAAGAAAGAGTTCTAATAAACTCTTTTTATTCTATAAAAGACATTCCTCCTAACTTTTAAGGTAGGTAAAGCATTTTTTCTGGATTCAGGCTATTGACAATGAGTCGTGATTAAATTGCATTCTTGTCCTTAAGTTTTTCTGCTAATGCATTTTTCCCCACAATATGAAATACTTAACAATTTCAATCTGTCTCTATAAGACATCAGAAGATGTACACTGTGAGGAGGAAGACATAAAGTTTCCAGGAACTAATTTCATTGATACTACTGATGTCATGCAGGTAATTTTATTGCAAAGATATCCTTTCCTTTTAAACATTTTTATGTTTGTTTTCCTATTATTCTTATTATTCTTGTTTTATATTATTCTGAAAACACAATGTAGAAAATAATTTTCCTTTACTAGCAACTTTAAAAATACACATTGTGAGAAGTAGTGAACTGTTTACAGTGCTATAAACAATATTAGAAGTTTGTGTGTGTGAATAAGTAAAGAAACTTCCAAGAATTACAATAAAAAAAATAAAATTAGCTTTTATTTGGATGTGTTAGAATCCACTAGAAATAGAAGTAAAATCAGTGGTGATTATAGCACTTCACAGTTTCAACATCTAAATGTAAATGTAATGCATTTGTAAGATGTAGTAAGTTGTAATAAGATGTCAGAAAATGTGTGCATAATCTTGCAGATTTTAAGTAAGGCAACCTATATTTTAAAATATGAAACTATTTTCTGAGTGTTCCCTTTTAGAAAATTTGCTGTAGAGCAATTTGTATATGTTTTTGAGGTACTAAAATGCTTTTAGCAAAATACCTAATTTCAGTCAAAAATTGAACAACTGAAAGGAAAAAACATAGGCAAGCAGTGTATGCAGATCTATGTGTAGAGACAGCATGTACTACTCATCTCACGGATCCGACCGGTAGCTGAGAAGTTTTATATGTTGTTTTTTTTGGTTTTTTTTGCTTGATGCCTAGCTAACGTGTCTGTACACAATTAACTTTTTTTGTTACTGGACTGTGATAACATGGGTTTATTGGGGATACTCTTTTACAGTTTAATTTTTTTAGGTAGCAAGTCCTTTGCTAACCTCTCGTTAGTCAGAGTGGGGGCTGACAAATGCTCAAGGTTGATCCAGGCTGTATTTCACTTCTCCAGTTTAAGCAGAAACGTAATGGTAGCTGGGAAAAGCTGCCTTTGAAGAAAGGTGCCACCTTTCTGAAGATGCTGCCACCCAGCTGGTCTGTGGTATCTTGCCTCTGCAGAAGATGGCAGCTTCCACCTCCTGCTGCATTTAGTCTCAGTAAAAACCAGGAGCTTGAAATTGCTATTGAGGGCTAGTATTTCTCTTGGAGTGCTGCTTCCACAAGCCTCTTTCCAGTGAGCTAGACTTGCTGCGTGCATATCAAAATCTACCCAAAAATGTATTCTTTTTACCTGTTCTGTGTCCTCCTGGTCTCCAAGTTGAAGTGTGCATTAAATACTAACTATATAGCCTACAGATTAGTATGGCGGATTTATTTTTAAAATTAATTCATCATTTAACATGATTAGTTAGTTAGAACAGTTCTAAAGAGGTGGTTTACCTATCAAAAGTGGGGAAATGCATTTTTAATTTCAAACTTACCTTATGTTATTGGAGCAGAGGAACTAAATCTATTTGTACAACTTTCTTCTGTTTGCACAAAACAGCTTTATTATTATAAAAATAAATTAGAAAGCTATTTAAGAAATCAGTTTATGAACTAACAAAATGCTGCAACGTTAATTTTTTTGTATGTGAAAAATAGTTATTATTTGTCTCTTCTTTTTGGCAATAGGGTATTCTTTAACCACAATACCAAAAATGTTTCAAGTGAAACATATGTTTGGCCTATGACTACACAGACAATGGTCTTAAAAATGTGCAAGACAAACACAATGTGGAAGCATAAAATCAACTTCTGGAGTGGCAGGGATATTTAAAACATCAAAAGAAAGCAAAGTCATAAAAGAGGCTTTAGATGCATGAAAAAACGTGCCTAGAATGCTACACAGGAAAATAGCTTATTGTTGTCTTTCTGTCACACCCCTTTTATTATGAAAACTTATTCCCTTCAGTTTTAACAGAATTAAGTATTCGTGTGAAATATCCTCCTTTTTTTTTTTTTCTTTTCCTTCCCTGATGTGTATTGCAAAAAAGCTTCAGGACCCTGGCCCAGGCGTTTCCTTTTTCTTTGGATTTGGTTTACCTTTATTACTAGAAGACACGTATTTAAGAGATACTTAAGAGATGAAATGCTAGTTGTTAAGCACTGGTAGCCCAAAATAGTTGATTTTGGTGCTCTTATTTCACAATAAGAGAATTCAGATGTGGAACAAAGCAGAAAAGGCTGTTAGAGCTTTGATTTACACAGTTCTTTATTTCTGATCAATGGTTCCACCTACGACAAAGTAGGTTCAGACTTTCTGAACAGAAGAGGTTTGGTGAGGCTAGCCCTTGTGTGGACCCTGCTTCATTCCAGAGTGAGAAATGTGCACGGCTAACAGGAGCCCAGAACGGGCTCTGAGAGTTAATGACTCTGCTCTCCAGCTCTTGTGACCAGCTACATCCTGCAATGCCTTCAACAAGTTTACTAGGATTTAAGATTAGAAACACTTTTTGCTCTCTCTGAACATTCCCTAATTGCAAGGTGGGGACTTGTTTTCCGGATTTTTCACTTCCATTTTTGATACCACCGCAAGATATATAACCTGCAGAGATCAGAGTAAATGTTTTCCTCAGCCCTGGTTTCCCATAGATGATCTTTGGGATAGTGATTTTTTTTTTTACGTATATAACTCTTCAGACAAAAGATCACAGGTGGGACCCGCAATGCAGTGTGACCTTGCCCGTGAAAATTGCTTTAGAAATCTGTCAAGAAGAAATAAATGACTAGGTTTTAGATGGCTTTAATAAAAGAGTATGCATATACCTGTTTGGTAATGGAAAAAAAAAATCTATACCACCTAATCATTTCAAACGTTCTTTTAATTATCTGAATGTAATTTGGGAAATAGAATTTTTCAACTTGATACTTTTTAATTTATGCCATGTTTTGTTTGGGAGTCATGATAGATATTTTCAGCACTCTTACTGGAAGTAAAATGCAGAATTGAGTGCAAAGTATTCAAGATTGGTCTATAAAGTGATATATGTACAAGTTCAATCTTTATAATTAAATGCTATCATGTTATTTTTTTATTTCAAAAGAGATAATACATCACCCCAAAATGAAAAAAAAATCTTTTGGATTTGTGCACTATTAAGTATAAAATATTTTTGCATATAAATAAGAAATGCAGGAGAACTGCAAAAATTTGTCAGAAATTGGTAAATATATGTAAGATTTATTGTATGTACTTGGTTTATTTAATCCAGACGTTTGTATTTTGCATACTTTCAGAAAATAGATTAAATTGGCAACATCAAAGAAAATTTATGGAGTAATGCAGTCAGAAGAAAATGCATAATGAAACACTGGACAAAGACATCTTTACACTTGCTGTCAGAATGAATTGGGGTTATGAATACATATATCCTAACAGAATGAACTGCTTATCAGCTTGCAAGGCATCCAGTGCTATTCTGAGTTTAACTTTACTGTCTTATTTGTGTGCCTAGAATGGTTTAGAGATCTTTGTTTGTCTACCAAATATACGTATTCTGTCTTGCCTGCTTTGTAAGCTAGAGCTTTTCTTTGAAGAATTATTACTCTTTAAGATGCGGAGGGGTGCCACTCCCCAATAGCTATATGTTGCAATACCTGTTATGGACGATATGACTTTTCAATTTTAGGTAGGAGAGAAGTATTAATGCTGGGTTGGGGAAGGAGACAGGGAAACATTACTGATTTTTTTTTTTTTTTTTTTTTTTTTTTTCCCCTTCCTCTGTTCTTTCTGGTTTTAGTGATTTTATTCATAGAAAATATATAGCATTTTTTTTATTTTATGGGTTAAAATGAAGCTTATATAAGGGAAAAGGTGGGGTTTTTTTCTCTTCCCTGTGTTGGAGATTAATCTTAGTAAATGTAGATTTACAGTGAGCTCTTTTATGCAACATTGCATGCTTCTTGCTGGTAATTTAGGGCTCAGCTCTTCATCTCTTTCTGGCATACCGAATTTTCTTCTTAGAGAGTCGTATATTACTATTTGAGACATTTGTTTTTTCATATTATTAGTGAAAGGTGCAGGTTCTTATCCATCAGGAGACATTTCTAAAGTGTTACATCATGATATGATGGGATGGTGACTGGGTTTTGGGGCTTAATGCTGTGTATGTCCTCGGAGGGGGGAAAAGGAGGGTGGCGTCTTTGGAAACAGTAAAACATTATAATGCACACTGAGTAACTTCCGTAACTTTTTAGAAATAGCACATTAAGGTTAAATTCAAAGCGTCTGCAAGGATCTTCTGAATTAGTTACCCAGAGATACCTTTCAACTTTCAGCAGCTGAGGTTAGTGAAAGTGTAAATGTACGTGTAACGTATGTGTAAACTATTAATGTCTAGTCTTCAGTGCTGACAACTTTATTAGCATTTTCACTGGCTGCATGCTCATCAACTTTTGAGATGTATCTTTTCAGGCAGGAGACACTAAAGTAAAAGCTTAATTTCTAAAAAAAAAACCCAACAAACAAAAAACAAACCAAATGTTTTTGGAAAAGGATGAGCATTTCTCAAGTATTAGCATTACCATTGGCTTCCTGCCCTGCGCAGAACAGGCAGGAAATGTGAGCCAAATCATGTTTTACTTAGCAGTTCCTATAGCCTTATGCCTCTACAGATTTATGATTTTCCAAGTTTAGAATTGTATCAATTAACTTCAACATACTAAGGAGGGAGAATATGGTTTGTGTGCTGTGATACATCTACAAATGTTTCTCAAAAAAATCAGATGGTTACCTCAATGACATTGCCTTCCAGAAACTCACCATAACTTAATTTACTTCTTATTTATTAGGATCAGGAAGAGGAGGGGAATGAAATTCCAGAATTCTTTGAGCCTCTTCTAGAGCTTAATGGACAGTTGCAAGTTGCCTCACCAAAATACAATGGTCCTTTGTTTCCGCCAGTGGCTTCTGCTCCTCAGCAGTCTTCTGATGTTTTGGATGAACTGATTCAAAGGAGAGAAACTATAGAAAACAGGTTGATAAATTGGTGAGTTACAAAGTAGGGAGAGAATATGTATGGAAGAAGGAATGACTCCGTAAGATACGTTTCCTTTCTTCTCCTCCATTCCCTTCTCCTCTTTCCTTTGAGCTGACTTGCATTTTATGGCAAGAATGCTCTTTTGTATACTTTTTACAAGTCTTGGTGTTTGCTGATAGAATAAAACCTGTTTAACTGCTAGGGTGGAACAAGAAATAATGGCAAAAATTATCAGTGAGGTGTACCCAGTGCAGAAAGAAACAGTGCCCGATGTCAGCACTTCAGAGAGTGAAGACAGTGAGACTGCAACCTCTGACATTGGTAAGTAGGAATTATTGTTCTCAGCAGATAGGTTATCTCAATTTTTGGCTAATTTTAACAAGTGGCGTAGGTAGTTGTTGCCTAAGAGTGGATGAGGCTGAACCAGTGAAACTATAAAATGGTAAAGTGCATGCTTTAATTTATGTTGAGACAGAGCAAGAATTATAACGCCATTGAAATAAATTACCTAAAAAAATAAATAAATTTGTACCACTGTACAAAACAGCTTCTGTTATTGGCCATCCAGATCAGATTTGGCATTTTGCTACACCTGTAATGTTTGCCTGCCTTTTCATATTAGATATGTCAAAAATTCCTTCTGTTATAAACATGTGAGAATGGGAGACAAATGCATTTCTCCTGTGATTTCACTGCCTGTTGCTGCTGTCGTCTTTTATGATCCTGAATTGCTTCTCTACTGTTGTTTATCTGTAAAATAAAAAAATAAATAAATAATAGAAATAATAGTAAAATAATTTAAAAAACCCCTAATGTTTAGAAGTTCATGAGTGGCTGTGGTTCACTACATGGCATTTTAAGTAGTGAGACCTGGATGTGTGTTTTTTGTTTCTTCATGTTCAGTTGAAGTTGCAGGTGGTGGAGGATTTCAGCTCTTTATCAATGCTGGTGTGCCTGTGGACTCAGAGATGATAAGTCATTTTGTAAATGAAGCTCTCAGTGAGACGATTGCGACCATGCTGGGTAACAAGCAGGCTCAGAAAGCTGTTCCCTCTACAAATGTTCTTCCAAGCACAATGATTATGATGGTAAGAGGCCATTTAATTTGAACTTTCCTACTGAAGTTCTAAGGAATAATTTCTTCATGGCATGACAGTTCAACTAGGTGCAAAACAAAGATGACAGAAAAAACTCATGAATTGAAAGTGCATGATTAGCATTTTTTGTTTATTTCTTATTATTTCCCAGCAAACAAGATTAAACCTATTTCACTTTAAAAAAAATTTGAAAAGAAAAAATAATTAATTCCTTTGTGCTACATGCAGCTTGCTATATTGATTTATTTACATTAAGGCTGAGCAGAAAACTGTTTTCTAAGGGAAAGACTTGGTACTTAGTTTCATGTTGTCAAAAGATAGCTTGTGTTGTTTTCAACAAAAATAGCTGTTTTCCTTTCTTGCAAAGAAATGAAATATGAAGAAAATAATTTCTTCATACAAGAAGAAATAGAAGCTGAGCACGATACTATTTTTAGTCTCATGGGTTTGCAGCCATTCTTTAATATCTGTAAAAATTATTATTACTTCTTTCTTAGTTTTGAGTTCAATAGTTTTCATTAAATGCTTAAATGATTAGCAGAGCTTCCTGTAATACAGGATAATTTTCTCTGTTCCCTTTGATAATCAAATGACAGCTGACTCTTACTGTGATATCATGGCTGTGCTACAGTCTGGTGGTGCAGAATGTCTTTAGGATGAATGTGGAAATTGCTGCTCTTACAAGTCTTAACTATTCAAAGCTTTGTTGAATGTGAGATCAATTAATTATTCCGCTACAGTGCATATATACTGAAATACCACCTAGTACCTGCTGTAAGTGACCAACAGGCTATTCTATAGTCAAAAGTAATCATTTCACTGCTGTAGGCTTAAATACAGCTGTCCTGTATCTAAAGAGCTCTTCCCTACTCCATTACGGATTAAGGAGGGTATTGTTCTGATACTTAGAAACCTCTTCTAATAACCGTTCTACATTTACTAATGGCTCTCTTAAGGTTTCTTGTTTTTGTACCAGCTGAAATGTCCTTAGGCTGAAATGGTTGTTTTCTCCTTACTACATATATTCATTTGTGCTCTTCAAGAGATTAGTTTTGTCCTTTTTGACCTTCGTTTGATTTGGCTGAAAAAGCAATAGTCTGTATGTATACCATTTTTCGACTTTTGCTGATGAACAGCACTTTTATGTTTTCCCATTTAGGTTGGTCTTGACCATAGCTAACGCTAATATGCTGATAGGCATTTTTTTAATATTAATGTAGTATGGAAGGTGGGGTTTCCTCAGTGCCTTATACTATAGTAGTGATACTCTCCTGCTTTTATTGGAATCTCAGGTAGCTAATTTTTTTTTTTTTCAGCCTTTCCACGTTTGTGGCTAATAGTTATCCTTTGGATAACCTGTATGTTCATAAGGTTTTTTCTTCTCCTTTTTCCATTTCTGCTCAGCTTGTAGCAGAAGTACTTGACTATGTAGTTATGCGTTCTTAATCTACCTCTTCTTAATGTGAAGTTTCCTGTGTTGAACTTCAGCTGCCCAGTTACCGAGTTCTTTGGTGGTCATGGAGTCACACAGTTGTGTGTGAACTGCCAAATGTGTTAGCATCTTCCACTTCCCATAAGAGTTTTTAGCCTGGATGCTTTCCTTTAGCCCCATTACCTTTTCTTTGTGAAATGTCAGAGAACAGGGATGGAAAAAACCTGGAAAGGTTGATAATATTCCTCCATAGCAGGCTGAACTTCATCATATCTGCTTGTCAGATTTATCTCCATCTCTGTCAGTTTTAAGGAACATCACAACTGTGTTTGAGCTTATTTTAGTGCTTTACTGTCTTGGCTATTACTTTGTCTGTAATCTTCTTTTTAGCTGAGTCTCTTACCATGAAATTGTCATACTGACTCAATTTTATCCATGTTATAAATATTTTCTTGCTTAACATTGTATCAAATGCTTTATTAAAACTAATATAATCATATTATTCATATTTAGACTGGACATTAGGAAGCATTTCTTTACCAAGAGGGTTGTCAAATACTGGAACAGGTTTACTGGAGAGGTGGTCGATGCCCCAAATCTGTCAGAGTTTGAGGCATGTGGACAATGCCCTTAGCAATATGCTTTAACTTTTGGTCAGGCAGTTGGACTGGATGATTGTTGTAAGCCCCTTCCAACTGAAATTATTCTATTCCATTCTATTATATTCATAATGATTTCCAATTGTAATAATTCTAATGCATACTTTACGTTTGGTTTTTTTAATTTATATTGCTATTGTTAAATTTATATCATTTAGCCTGATGCAACTTCATGTTTAGATGGAGGAGTTAGATCCATGAAGCATGTATCTAAGCAACAACTGTTCCTTTTCTGTGATAATGTGCCTTTCTATTTCTTCCTCAGCTGTCTCTGGGGATACTTGGAAGATAGGAATTCTGCACTGAGATAATAAATAACTGTAGTTACAATTTTTTTTCCTCAGGAGTCTCGTGTGCCTACTCCATTGCCAACACCCCAGGCCACACCACCACAAACACCACCTTCAGAAAAAGAATTGCCTCCAGTCAAAACTCCAGAGTCTTCTCTGTCTCTTACAGAAATGAGTGGGGATGTTCATGAACATGAAAAAATTAAAGAAACAGGTAGTGAAGATAATCGTTGATGTTTAGAAGTAGCAAATATGCTTTAATCTACTGCCTTTAATTTTTTTCTACAAAGACTTATTATCTCTCAGGACAAAAATTCTTGAGGCTGTAAATCAAGTGGAAACTCATTTAATACAAAAATTATGGGCTAATTCATGTAAAAAGCAAACATCATCTATTTGGTAACAGTTCTATTTTCAGACTTAATGCACATTTCTATGGTCTCTGTGATTTCAACCCTTCCGCGCTTTTTCACATCAGAAACAAACCTGTCTTTTGCTCCTTCCTGTGTTCTTAATCTGCAAATAAAGCAGCTAATATTTTAAAATGCAGAGCAGTCTCCCTTATTAAAGGAAGTAAGCAATTGAAGTTTTATTCTAGCTCCTTCAGATGCCAACAGTGTACTTAGAAGAAACTGGTCTTAATCTAGTCTTTTCTTCATAACTATCAAAAGATATCACAAACAGTACAAGTGCTTAGTGGACTGACTATCTCTGTCTGAGATGTACTTCCCTCTTTCCTTTCTGATCTGAAATTTGGCTTCACATGTGCAGGAGTTGAGATTCCGGCTGTCACTAACCGTGTAGGCACACCTGTGGTTACGCCTCTCAATACGCCTCCTAGAATAACCACACCAAGCCCTCCTGCCTCAGAATGGGTCTCCAAAGCTGCAGAAGTGGAAAGTCCAAAGCCTACAAACCCATTGGATGATGCAGAAGTTCCTCTGGAAGAAGAGAAACCCAGTCCTCTAACTGAAGAACCATTCTGTCCTAAGCCTGTGTGAGTTGAACAGGTTTTTTCATTTATTAAAAAACCAAATGCATTATTTCTAGATACAGCCTCAAAATGCAGTAGATAAATGATTAATGTGTATATTATGAGGCATTGAGATAAGCGAGGATTATTTTTTTTTAATTGCTTCACTTATATGTTGGGGAAAAATGTGAAATCAGGACCTTTCTCAGAATTTATTGGTCTTTATTGATTGTCCTGTTGAGCAGTGTAGTTAGTAAACTGGTATCGTTACACCTACCAGTAACAAATGTAGCGACAATGAAATATTGTACTATTAGCATGATATTTTTTCTAATACCTTAGTGGGAATACATTATATTTTTTTAGTTATATGTAGAAATTAATTGAGAATGTTATTTAACCACGTTGATTCTTGGACTATTCTGTAAAGTCCTGTCCTTTCATTTGAAAAAATGCTCACAAATTAATTTCAGTATTAAGACTTTAGTTCAATGTGTTTTGATGTATTCATGGTGCGTATTGTTACATTACAGTGAGATTTCAGTGGCTAATGATGAAGAACCAGAGGCCTTGATTTTCCCACCTCAGCAGTTGTCAGCGAGGTCCTTCGAATCGCTTCCTTGCCATCTCCAGGTTCCAACACCTGTGCCTACAGTTAGTTCTGGGCAGTCCTCACAGGAGAGCAGCCTTACCCTCACAGAAACAGAAGCTGCAGACAGACCCATCTCGGAAGGGGAGGTACTTTTCAGCTATGGACAGATCCTGGCTGCAAGAGGTAATTAACTAGACAGATTTGTGGAAATTAGAATTTGGATTAATGTTTTTTTTCTGTATAAACTTCTCTTCCAGTCTACTGAAGTTACATTTCACACATTTGCTGATAGAACTGTGAACATTAACCTGGTCCTTAAGTTCTGGTTCACGGTTTTTGGATTTCAGAGACCTCATTGCTCTTTTTCTTGTCTCCAAACAAAATGCTTCTCCTTACTAATGAAAAATATTAAATCTTTTCTTTTGCCATAACATTAACTTGTAAAATAATTGGAACTGTGTTGCACAAGTACCTTGTGGTACGAAGTCCTAAGTTTTTGTTGAAAGCAAAGTATAAGGGCAATTTTCTTGCAAGCTGAAAATATGTCTTTATAATATACCTCTGGTAGTAGGAGTTTCCAACTTTACTAAAGCACTGTGCTGCAATTGTTAAAATAATGTGGACTTGGCTTTCTTTTGTATATCTTGCATGTTTTTTAGTATTTGTAACTTAAAATATTTTTCCGTGTTAGCAGAAGGAGGACTGTCTCTTCCAAACCTTGCTGAGAGCTTAATGAGTACTTTACAAGATGCCAATGAAATGGTAAGGAAATGTTTCACAAGGAAACTGAGTTAGTGTGGTGTTCTACCTTGAGCATCTTGATAAATTGGAGGTGCTTTAAGCATTTGGTTTATAAACTTTTTAAATTTATGCTTTTAAACTGTACACTTAGAAAGAATGTTAGAATTTCAGAGTTCCAAAGGAAAAAAACACATTATACAAAGCAATTTATATATTTCTTTTTAAGCTGAATTATTTATATATTTCCATGGATGAGAGAGAGCTAATAAGCTTTTTCATCTCTTCATTGTGTTTAGTTTTATGACATCTTAAACAGAATAGAATATTGTTAATGCTCTGAGATGTCTCTAGGTATTGCAGTCTTGTATATCAGATAAAGACTGTGCATGTCTGTGGGTAAAAGGAGAAAACAGTGGATCAGTTTGCTTACTTTTAAATTCCTAGATTTTTATGACACAAGTTCTCAATGTGGAAACTTGTAACAACTTCTTTTATAAAAGAAAAAAGCTTAATTGTGAACTTAAGTATGAAAGATTCAAGTTCCTACAAAAAAATAGTTTTTAGATCATGTATTATGTGCCTTTTGCTTCCTTATTTTAGGATTATGATCCTCCCAGTGAAGGGCAAGTAGTGAGAAGACTGGATAAAGGCTATCACAGGGATCCTGTCTTGACTCTTTTAGCCAAATTAAATCAAGCACCTGTTGCTGCAAAAGAAGGAATGTACCATTTGGAGGTAACTCACAGTCCTTTTCCTTCCATTGCAGTAGTTTTGAAGTGATACTTTCTCCCTCAAAATATTTCAAGCTATCCTTGCTGTTTAGAACAGGTTCATACACTTCATTCCCTGCTGGAGGTGATCACACTTCTGTTACCTATGTTCTCATGTAAAACTTTTAGAAACACCAAAGGTTAAGTGTTATAAACAAGTTAGCTGTACAGAGTATGACATGTATCTAGTTCTCAAGGTGTGTATGTGACTGTTCCAGTGTACCACATTTGTCTTGTAGTTTGCACTTGGTGTCTGTTCTAACTGGCATAGCTGGACTGACACTGCCCTGTGCAGTCGCAGGGCTGTGATCTCATTGCAATTCCAGAGACATGGGGAGATAGCTCACATGACTGGAATGCTGCCACGGACAGCTATGTACTTTTTAGGAAAGACAGGCCAGGCGGGGCGAGGTGGTGCAGTTTCTCCATGTGCAAGAGAGCAGCTGGAATGTATCAAGCTCTGCCTAGGTATGGATGAAGGACGTGTTAAGAGCTTATGGGTAAGAATTAAGGGGTGGACCAATATGAGAGACACTGTTGTGGGTGTTTAGTACAGACCACCAGATCAGGAAGAGGAAGATGAGTCCTTCTACAGACAGCCTCACAATCACAGCCCCTGTTCTCATGAGGGACTTCAACCATGCTGATATTTGCTGGGAAGGCAACACAGCCAGGCACACACGGTCCAGGAGGTTTCTGCGAGTCCTACTCCCCACGCTGTTCCTGACACAGGCCAGGATGCTGGTGGCCTTCTTGGCCACCTGGGCACACTGTTGGCTCATATTCATTATAAAGTTCATATGTGTATTCAACCTCTTTTCATGTATAGAAGCACATTGTTTCTTCTCTGCAACTTGAAAGTCAGAACCATCCCTGTTTTACTTGCCATCCAAATCTAAGTAAAAATGGAATTTTTTTATCTGACGTATTATACAACAGACAGTCAATAGCTTTTAGATGCTTCCAATGTTACAAGGTCAGGTAGTCAACAATGGCCATATGCGTAACATTGAAGAATTCATGTGCTAAAAATATACCTTAGGTTCCGCTCGTGTTGGGATACCACTAACAAAATAAATGATGTTCTTCGGCTGTAAGTGATTCTTTCCTGTCCAGTACTGATAAACGTAGGCCTTGCTTTCAAATCCAGTTAGATGGTAGTCTCTTAAGTTCCAGTTTACTTATTCATTGCTAAGGTAACAATGCCTGGTTTTGGAAGAAAAACATTGGTGTTTTTTTGTTCCTGCTCTTCTGATGTTGCTGTTCTATGTAGGATTCTGATGATAGTGTTGGGGAGCTCAGTGAAGGTCAAAGACCAAGGCTGACCAGAGCAGCAGAGAGAATCCTAATGGAACATTCAGTTTATATGGACCATCCAACGGCTCGGACTTCTCAGAACAGGCCACACCAGGGTTTCCGTTCTCCATCACCAGGGCAGCTTGCCCAAATTGGAGGTACAATTACACTGTTAATTGTTTCTCTGAGGTACTTCTGTGCATTCTGAGGTTTTTTCTATAACAGTATCTGAAATAATTTCAGAATGTTCAAAATCCAGTATTATAAATTTACAGGCAATTGCTGCAATGAAAAAGATTAGCATTCCTATTCTGAGAACTGGATTTAGTTCAAACTGTGTCTTCAATCTTCCTTCTCTGTAATATTCTACAATTTTAACAAAAATCATGCCTATAAAAAAGTTGACTTGTAAAGTGTGTATTTTATTCTTTTAAGTCAAATTCAGTTCTCAAAAGCACTTAGTTTGACCATTCTTCAAATCAGTTTCCATAGGACAGTTATTAACACGGCAGTTGAAGCTACTTCTCTCTGTCCCCTTATACAGCACTCCTCCTCAGTGTTTTTATGACTCCATCAAGGTGATACTGTAATGTCTCATAATTGGTAATGTATTTTAGCTTCATATGTTCCTATAATAATATGGAAATACTTTTTTTTTTTTTTTTTCCCAAATGGGTAGCTGAGGCACACAGGTAACGGCTACTACAAAGTAATGCAGGGATAAGTTGCTGTGGCAAAGCAATGAAATTAATTTCTTTCTTTTCAGTTGAAACTAGTGCTGTAACCAATGGCCCATTGTTCCTCTCCCTTCTTATCCTAGTTTCTCTATTGTTATCTGAAAATGTTCTTCTATACTGGCTTAATTAAACTGCTGCGAGAATGTAGAAACTCTTCATTTTGTTGACTGTGGCTTCAAATATGAATAAACTGAAATAATTATTAAGCTAGTACAACACAAATGTGGTTGCACTGATTCATCAAAATTGGTGTGAACTAAAGTGATCAAACAACCGGTTTTCTGTCCTTCTAGTTTTCACATTGATGAGTTTGACAAGAGAAGCATATCTCACATTATCAACCCTTGACCAGTAGGAAGTGGACCGAAATTGAATGTGTTCAATGTGTGGCAAAAATAATCTCTGACGAATGAGAGTATTTGCTTAGTTTTGAACTGATGCATGTGTGAGTGAGCTGGTCATGCAGAGACTAATCTTTTTAAGATAGCTGTTACCTAACATTTTGGACCAGCTGTACCACTGTTGGCCTTGACAGTATGTTTTGGTACATTATATATTACCAAACTTCTACTTGAAAGTAGTTTGTTGAATGTTGTTTGGAGATTGGTTACATGAGGCTCCCTGGCATAAGGCATATCATCAAGTTGCTTGTTTAACACTGTGTTGTTAGAAGACAGTCAGCATTAAGAACACTGTGACGTAGGAATAAATTAGTGATCTAGATCAGTCTGCAGTAAGACTAATGTTGCTCGGGATCATGTATAGTTAGAAGATGCACATTAATGAGAGAACCTGTCTATTAGGGATATTTCATTCTTACCCAGACTGTCCATAGCTGTAGCTGGCATAACATGTTTGTATCCCTTCTATATTTATTTTTAATATTTATTTAATTTAATTTGGGGTGCCCTTAGTTTGTCCTGTGAATATCTAACACTTTTCAAAACCAGCTCCTGCATGTGATGATGGTTTAGAAGCAGTGTGTTTCTGTAGTATTTTATTGTCAACTCTGTAAATCTTGTAGTATTGTTTCTGTTGTAGTATTTTTTTAGAGGTGGTAAATGCCCTGGACTAACTACCATAGGGGAATGCCCTGTACTTTTACATTGTCTGTAATAATCCCAGACTGATTTCTGTTGCATTCTGATAATTTTTAACTTAGCTTCCCTCCTTCCCCACCTCTGAACGCACAGCACAGTATTCATTGATATTGCTAAGGAAAGAACATTGTATAAAAGCTAGGATCTACTTTCAAGACAAGAGTATTTTTGTATCCGGGAGGAACAGAAAATCTTGTTTCCAGCTCCCTTTGATAGCAAAGTCAACACTGAATGCAAAACAATGTGTTCTGGGTGAAATGATCTGTGATTGTTTCCGCTCTTCTTCCAAATCTTTTGTATCTGTCCACTGGTATGTGAGATTGCATGTCCTTTAGTCTGTTGCAAGTCAGGACTAGGGACTGATAGCCACAACAGTTACAATGCAGGTCCACCATTTTAATTGAGAATTATTTTGGGGGGTAAAATTAAATAATTATACCAAAGGGTGTAAAAATTCATATATTTCAGGGTATATATCTCTGTATATATAACCTTGCAGTGGATACTCAGTTTCTCTGTTGGAATGAGTCAGACACAAATATGTTTCTAAGAATTCTGGAGACTGGGTGTCTATGGGTATTTTCAGTTTTGTGACCAGTTTTTATTCGTATTATGGAAACATGATGTCTATTTGTAGGATGGAGAAGGTGTTGCTTATGTAGCTATATAACAGCATCCTGATGATCAGTCTTTCATTTATGAATCCTGTTTTCAGTTCTTAAAGTTATGGATACAAAAACCAACATGCAAATGAAATGTGACACATGTAGTCTTAAAGTGGACAATAATTATAGTTAATTAAGCAATAATTTTAGTCATTTAGACATATTTAGTCATTCATCCTATGGCTCTGTATGATAGTAGAAGGACAACATTTTTAATAAAGATGCTTTACACACTTTCAGGCTGCAAAAGCATGATGAATGCTGGATTATATAGTAAATTATCCCTTTAAAAAAAGACTCTATACAGGTTTCTTTTGCATTCCCAGAACAGTGAAACATTTTCATGAAGAAGCCTTTCCAATCTCTTTCCAGTACACGTGATAAAGCTCATTAAGCATTTAATGGTATGATGAATGATACAGCTCTGAAGCTATCATAAATGCTTGCCACGTTAGAAACCTATGGATGACAAAACTGATATGTTTTTTTCAGTTTCAACAGACATGCATTTCTTATTTCTTTTTTCCCCACCAGAACAATTTAAGGGATATACAATAAACCATGTAAGGAGGAAATAATTCTCTTCAACATTGCATGTCCCATTGTTGAATCCTGAAACACTTCACATCCTGCCATATGAGTTGCTGAAGCAATAAATTCCAGGTCTCATCAAGGAATTTTTTTCTCTTTGTTTTTCCTCTCTCAACAGAAATTCTTGGAGATGCAGATACAAGTCTTGGTCCAATGCTTATGGCTGAACTGGAATCACAACCAGTTTCAGATCCTGTTCTGCAAACAGCCCAGCTAAGCTGCAGAGTGACATCTCTCTCAGAGGATCTGTCCCAGGTAAATTCAAAGGATCTTTTCTGTGACTGTGCAAACTGAGACCTAGGAAAATAAATTTTCCTGTTTTGCTATGCTGACTGACATCACAGAAGTAGCCCATTTAAAGTGACACATTCAGCTGAGAAACTGAAGTAAAAAATACATGTATGTAATAAAAATGATTGTTTTTACTATGGTGGAATCCTTACAATCCTTTCTGTTAGGGTCAGAGGTTCTCTATTACCTTTTCTGCACTTCCTCACACATTCACTCATCTCATGGGATCTGATACTATTTATACTCAGTAGAGATGGGGCACGCCACTGTTGTAGGGGCACAGTGCTTCAAATACAGAATAACATGATAGATATATGGGAGAGGAAGTAGAAAGATTTGGCCTCACCAGTTGTAACCCACTGGCTACATTTCTGAAATTCAACATTTCAGAAGCTTCAGTTGTCCTCGTGGGGTGGGGTTAGAAAGGCAGTAATGATGATGTACCTCAGAATATTTGAAGGCAGAGGAAGATCCTACTGATCTCTGTTTGAAATCTATAGAGTTAATCTTCTGCTGCTTAATAGTATGTGCTGTTACCTAGAGATGATGGTTTACTCACTAATTAAAGATAAATTCAAATAGCAGTGTTTTGCCTTCCCTGAAATGAAACTGTATCGACTATGTACAAAGCAAGAAGACTAATCTATTTAGGAGCAAAACTAGGCTTTTCTTGGTGTTTGCCGAGAGGATGGAGAAAACACACTGTATTTCAGATAGTGTCCAGCTGGGCCTTGCTTCTGGTAGAGCTTTGTTCTGATTTAACTGGGAATTATCCTCCTGGATGTTAGGGTTTGTTACGGCAAAGCTTGGATGGTTTCTGTAATCTGCCTGTGCAGGATCCTCATTTCGGAGAGGTTGTGAGCGGTTGTATGGAGCTGTAATATACATACCACTTGTTTGCTCCCTGGCATGGATGTGTGAATCAGATTCTGAACCAACAGAAAGAGTGTTGTCTTTCATGTAGGGAAGGAGCAAATGCCTTCTTTTAGTCATGAAGAGTGAAGTCTGTGTGGTCACTCACTTGAAAACAAATGGCCTGTCTTACAGGAATTTTCTTATCTACCCAAATTCTTTGGCTGCTCCTCCATTTCTGGCATTAGATTTTTGTGAGATTTATATATTCTTTTAGCCACTGTTAGACTGAGTGCCAGACCGAATGGATCTTGTGTTTGACCTCTTCTGTCCATTCTTGTTCAACAATATGGGAATTAACTGTTATTTGTGCCCACTTTGCCCCTGTATTCTTAGTTATAAAAGCAAGAGATGACTAAGAGAAAGCTGGGCTTTTTTTGTCCATTCTAGATAAATCATTTTGATCATGGCAGGGACATGAGCACTGAAAGTCATATTTGTGTGGCTAAACATTTCAAAGAAGGTAAATCTAAATAGTTTGAAATCCCAAATGCATTGTTAAAATCTTAGAAAATCAATTAGTTGCAAAATATTTTCATATCATACTTACATAAGTATGAATGTTTTTATACAAATAACATTTTTTAAGTGGGCTTGTCACTTTGGTATTCTCATTAGCTTTCATTTTCAGTGTTCAAAAGACATGTTTTTTAATCTGCCAGGAATGCATAATTGTAGTTTATGAATCTATGTGTTATCTTAACTTCTGAACCTCAATTCAGTTTAAACTGGTTTTGGGGGGGGTTGTCTTACTAAAAATCCAAAACAAAACTTAAAAAAACACTTCAAATGGACTCCTGAGCATACTGTTATGCTGCTTCCATTTAATGTTCTGTAACTTTAGTGGCCTTCAATCACATTTCCATTTCACATGAGACCTTCCCAATTTTAGAAAACCATCTCAACTCTTTCTTGTCTTGTCAGCTTCTGTCATGGTTTTGGCCGTATTGGCCAATCAGAATGACAGATGGCCCCTTCTTCCCCCCTCTTCAAAGAGAGGAGAGGAAGACATAAAGAGGCTTATGTGTTTAGAAAAAGAACTAAACTACTTTAATGAAAATATAAAAAAAAATAATGAAATAATAAATAATAGGAAGAAAAATAATTTTTAAAAAGAAAAAAAAAGGTATCCAGTATATAAAAAACCATATCAAGCTCCCAGGATGGCGATCAGGTCACGAGCAGGCACAGGGAAAAGTCTCAGACTGGACTCAGTGATGGACAGGAGTTGGATTCCAGATCTGGAGTCAGGAATACTCGGATTGAGATCAAAGGCAGACGAACAGACAGGGTCCTCCTCAGACCTTGGCCATTGAAGAAAGAGAGCTGACCCCTTGATCCCTCTGTTTTTATACTGACTGTGATGCAGACGGGATGGAATACCCTGTTGGTCAGTTTTGGGTCACTTGTCCTGTCTGCTCCTCCCCACAGGTGGGACCCCTCTACACTTTTCCGCTTCTGACCCTCCAATGGGGCAAATTACCTGACCTTATTCTTATAGCAATAAGTATAAGCAAGAGCCTCTCCACATGCCATTCCTTGGTATAATCAGGTCTTATCACTGTGAGATTGAACAGTTTCTGCACAATATGCTGTTAATTACAGAGTTTAGTCAGTTAGAAGCATCCCAGCTAAAAAGTAAAATTGCTGAACAGAAAATTGGTTCTGTTGTACCTCAAACCAGGACAGCTTTAAACAAAGAGAGTTGGTCAACATCACAGTGTGTAGAAGTACTGGAGTTAGTGCTAATGGTAACTGGTGTAGCCATGCACGTAGCGCCTTGTGAAGATGCCAGTTTGATCTCAGATGCATGCATATTCACTTTTGTCAGCTTAAGCTCAGTGCTGTGCTGGTGAGGTTGTGTTGGTACTAAATGACATGCTATATGTTAGTGTAGGCTTTGTTCACTGGCAAGTGTAAACAAGTCCATTCAACCTCAACCCTTGAGGAGAATACCGGGACTGAATGGCTTATCATTTTGCTCCTTCTGATGTTTGCAACGCTGGCTTAAATGGTTGTTAAGTATGTGACAAGCAGTATCATTACTGATGAGATTCCCATTATCATAGGAGACACTTGTTAGCTGAAAGAAATGGGAAGCCCTGGTTGTGTAGTTGGAACCATGCTTATTGCTTCCCAGATGTAAAAATTTTCTTATTTTTGTTTGTATTTTGGCTGCTTATTTCACTTGCAGCTTCTCTCATGGAACTGAAGTGTACTTTCTTCTTTTTTAGCTTTTGTTGAGCAAAGTACCACTGGTATTTTGTCATCAGGTTTTCAAGAGAGTATCTGTGTCATGCTTCTCAGGGTATATAATTCTCACAGAAGTCATATAGCAATTCTGTCCATAGCTTCCAAATGCTGTGGGATATGCAAACATTTATGATCTTTCTCATGTTCCTCCTTTAAGAATCATCACCAAAAATCTTACGTTAATCTGTAGGATCAACAGAATAACTGATGAAATCAAATTTATTTGTTATAGAGAATGCTTAAGTCTCCTAGGTCCTCTGTGCCTCTGTGTTTTGCATGTTTCAAGTTTCCTGTCTACACGTACTGGAATGTCCTTGGGCCACAATTCTTGTTCCAGTTAACACATAAGACAACAAGCGTATTTGACAAATACAATGTCCCCCTTTTTAACATGCAGAGTGTTTGTTGCTTCTAAGAAGCTGTTTTCCCATAGGCATTGTTGCAGACCTAGATCCTGAAGAGCATTTCAGGAAGAGTGGAAAATGATTTTTAAAACATAGTCAAGGAAATAAAATTTATACTTGACATGGGTTTTCCAACCTCCATGCAGAAACTTTTGTTTTTCTTTTTGCTTTTTACTTAGGAGGATAATACCTCTGGAGAAATCCTAGGTATTGAAGAAAGCCAGATAAATCTTGTATTCTTTCTACTACATGCTTTGATTAGAAATGGAGAATCTTGTGTGCCTTCAGGTCTAAGTGGCACTTTGCCATACCTCCTGCTCCCAGGATGTTTGTCTAGAGGAAATAGAATTGCAATAGGCTAATTCAGATCTGAATTCTTTAGAAGTCAAAAGGAAGGAGAGCAAGTGTATATCCTTTAATGAATCTTTAAAAACCTCTTTGGATGTTTCTTGAAGCTCCACATAATTTTACTGAACTTTTACATCAAAAGTCAGATCTGTAATATGATTTTAATGTATGATATATAGGAGGAAAACCAAGGAGCTGTACAAGTTGAGACTGTGAGACCCCGAGTTATTCATGTGAAAAGGAAGTCTGAAGAGACGCAACAAGAAGGTAAATCAATGTCAATAACCAAACATAGTTCTTTCACTCAACTTTTAAATGTTGTTGTATACTGATTTTTAAGTTTTGTTTTCATTACAACCAAATCCCAAAATTTCCAAACATTTATATGTAACATGTATAAATCTGTGTACATAGTTAAGATATTGTTGGGGTGCACTGAAAGGATTGGTAATGTATCTGTATGCAACTCATCAGAATCCTTGCAATTACATATTTATTTACATTTTTAATTGCCAAGAGCATTGCAACGTGCAAATTATATAGTCAACTGAATCTTAATTGCTTTATAGAATGCTGCTCAGCAAACAAAATATTCATAATGTTGTGACAAACATATATGAACAAAATATTCATAATGTGCAGTGGCTCATACATTTGAGAAAATGCAGGGGGTACTAGAGGAGAACTGAAAGATGATACAAAGTTAAGATCATGCAAATCCCAGGCACAAATGCAGGTTGGGTGGAGAATGGATTGAGAGCAGCCCTGAGGAGAAGGACTTGTAGGTGTTGATGGATGAGAAGCTCAACATGACCCGGCAGTGCGCACTGGCAGCCCAGAAAGCCAACCCCATCCTGAGCTGCATCAAGAGAAGTGTGGCCAGCAGGTCGAGGGAGGTGATTCTACCCCTCTACTTTGCTCTCACGAGACCCCACCTGGAGTACTGTGTCCAACTCTGGAGTCCTCAGCACAGAAGGGACATGGACCTGTTGGAACAGGTCCAGCAGAGAGCCATGAAGATGCTCAGAGGGCTGGGGCACCTCTTCTGTGAAGACAGGCTGAGAGAGCTGGGGTTGTTCAGCCTGGAGAAGAGAAGGCTCCGGGGAGACCTTATAGCAGCCTTCCAGTACCTGAAAGGGGCTACAGGAGAGACAGGGAGGGACTCTTTGTCAGGGAATGTAGCGATGGGATGAGGGGTAATGGTTTTAAACTGAAAGAGGGGAGATTTACAGTAGATATTAGGAAGAAATTCTTTGCTGTGAGGGTGGTGAGACACTGGAACAGGTTGCCCAGAGAAGCTGTGGCTGCCCCATCCCTGGAGGGGTTCAAGGCCAGGCTGGATGGGGCTTTGAGCAACCTGGTCTGGTGGGAGGTGTCCCTGCCCAGGGGATGATCTTTGTGGTCCTTTCCAACCCAAAGCATTCTACGGTTTCTGATTGTACGAAATGTGAAAAAAAAATTAGAGCTTTTAAATGTTAAATGGCCTGGTTTGTGATGGCCTTCAAGCTAGTACGTGACAGGTAGTGATTTTCTTTTGTGAAGGACACTATTATTTATGCATAGCGATGCTGTTTTTGGAGATTCTTAACAGTGTTTGTTAAAAGTGTTAAGGATATTGCATGAGAAGGAGATAATATATTTTGTTTATTGTTCAAGTCAGTGTTGAAATAACATAAACTGTGCATATTACTGCCATATTTACTTGTTTTAGCAGATAATAAGTTTGTGGAGGTGATAGAGTGAGATATGGAGCAGTTTTAATCTTACATGATAAGGCAAGGAATCTAAAAACCTGCATGTCTACAACATGTGCAATTGTAATTGCTCCACCCTAGTATAGACAAATTATTCCTTCAAGCCCTTTTAAAAATAATTCTTTGAATTTCTTCCATTTATTTTTTTAAAAACATCTAATCAAAGTATAATTCTGATGAACTTATTTTTCTTCAACTACAGTGGTAAGAAAAGCTCTAGGCTAATGTTCTTGGTCATGGGACTTGGAAACTAATTTCATAACTGTGGTTTACATATGAATAAAGTTATTAATAATTTAAAATTTAGCTTCTATGGACAAAGTGGAAAAGCTTAAAGAATTGAAGTAGCACACTGTAGCGCATGTATATGCTTTTTTGTAGGGACAATTATTAAAATGTGCTTTTAAAGTGGGTAAATAAAGAATTTATTAAAAAAAATGGGGGTTAACTCTCTTATTTAACATTAGTGGAAAATATTGCAATGATTTTTTTCTAATAGGAAGAACGGTATTTTTTCCTCTGGTGTTCAGAAATTCCAGATTGCCTAAGGAAAGTGAATACTCAACTTGAGTATGACCTCCAAATCAACAAAAAGGAAATCATGTGCCTTGCAGGATCAAATCATTCCCAACTTTTTAAAGCAATTTTCCTTAATAGAGGATGTAGGAATCTTTCTTCTTCTTCCTCAACACTTCATATTAAGCATCAGAGAGAAGGCAGAAAGGGGCGATATCCTCTTAACACTTTGTCATGCTTTTACACCACAAGTTTTTCTCAAAGTGTTAACAAAACAGCACTTCCAGCCTCTGTGGTTGGGTGAGGTGTTACGGATGGATACGGAGTAAAATATTTTTTTTTACCAAATCTCTTGTTTTCTGGAATATTTATCTTAAAAAAAAAAAAAAAAAAAAAAAAAAAGTGCCTGTACTGCAATACAAGGTTTGGGCACAGTGTGACTGTGTGTCAGATGAAAATATTTGACCACAAGATGGCAGTAGTCAATTTTCTTTAAGAGGAGAAAAAAAATTGTGATTTATATACCGGGATAATTTAAGTCTCATTCAAAGTACACATATTTAATGACCTAATAAAAATCTAGAGCATTTGCAAATGGAAACAACTGTCTGTCAGTTTTAACCACAAGGTCTTGTCTTTGTAAGCTTCACTACTGCAAACTTAATCGGTCAAAAAGTTGAGGGTAGGAATTAATAAGAATCATTTGAAAGAAAAATGAAAACTTGTAACATGATAAGTATACATGGGTTTAAGTAAATAAAACGTTTTTAAATTGAGCACATCTGTTACTATAAATTCAAAGTACCCTATAAAAAAAACTTTTTGTCAAACAGTTGCCTTTACTGAGATAGCAAGGGACAATGTGAATTTGCCTGAAAATGTAAAAGCGTTTCAGAGGCAGGATCATTTAGGTGCTTTTTTTCAGAGTTTAAAGGGTAAGTGGTTGTGTTGGTATTAGAACTTAGAAAATCTGTAGCCCTAAAATGAAGTGTGAATTCAGGATGTTGGGAGAGAAGGAAAATTGTTTTGGACTTAGAGTTAGATGTAAAAAAAGCCTTTTTTTGTTGAATTGATAAATACATGACAAGATTTGATTCATCTTCTGCCTGTGGTCATAAATATATATATATGATAGAGCTTTCTTTTGTTGTTGAAAAAAATTTTGTGGTCTACAGTGACCATGTGTTTTTACTAAAAGAAAGTTGATTGATGTTTTCTAATGAAAGTTGAAGTTCGGTAGGATTGTTACAATATCATGCCTGAAAGGGTAATGTCTTCTGAAAGTTACAACTGAAAATAAAGCTTGAATGTATTATTAATTGAAATGTGTGCCTTCTCTAGACATAGTGGAGACAGTGGTTTGAAAACATATATTTGTAGTGTATAATATGCATGCATATATATTTTTGCCTTTATAATACCCTTTAATCTTTGTACCATTCTTTCATATATTTTCATAGGCCTAATATGATAATAATTGTTGCGGTTGGTGAATGCACATATTTCCAGAATACAAGCATTTTCAGGCTTACACTAACATGATTCAGAATTTTTGAATTAAAATGAAAGAACAGGTGGCAATTCTTGGCTGCAGAGCATTTTTAAACTTTAATATAAGCAGCTCAGAACCAGAAGGTAGATGTATTTTCACTTAATTATTTTTCTACAGCAAAGACTCACAAAATGTGACCTAAAAAACACAACTTCATGACAGTAATTCCTTTTTATCTCCAGCTAGTGAATTGTATTCAGGCAGCGGAGAGTATATGGGAAAGTAACATTGCAGCACTAAGCAATTGGCTTTGTTGCCACAGAGAGATTGCACGGTTTCTTGTGGGAGGAGATGATCTGTGCAATAAATGAATAAGGAGGGCAAGAAGCCCTTAAAACAAGCTGCATAAAAAAAAATAAAGCTTCCAGAGTCCCTGTTTGGTACCGAAAACAGGCTAGTTCTGTGTTAACATTGACATTATGCCGTATTAAAAACTGTAATATTGAAAATATGGATAGAGTTGAATATTTCTTTGCTGCTCTTCTTCAGCCAGCCATTGCTCTGAATTAGATTTTGGATTATTTTTAATTAAAGCTATTGTGGCATGAGGCAAATCTCTTAACAGATGCTTCAAGTAAGGAAGATGATTAGGATAAGGCTGAAGGCCTTTTTTCTTGGAACTGTTTTGGTCAAACTATTAAAAACTATTTCTCCTTAATATCCTATTTCTTTCTCTTGGACTGAATTTTACTAAAGGATTTTGCTAAAGACTGTTCATACCACCCTGAAACTAGCAGCTAGTGAAGCAAACTGGAGCTATTGTTTCACACTGCAGACAGTGCCACCACAGCCTGAGAGGTAGGAATAGTTTGCGTAGCCTCCCTTGGTCCTTGAATTTGACTAATTTCTAAGAAAATATCTTGGAAATTTTAGTAATTATATCAATTAGCTATAATTATGGCATTTTAAAGTAAATGTCCTGTTAGAGCTTCATGTAAGTTTTTCAGTTTTTCTTCAGAGCTCTTATTTCTGGTGTATTTTGAGTCTGGTTTTCCTGTACAGTTACCTCCCTGTGCTGTCGGATGGCTCACTGACATAATTCAGTTAATATATTTTACATTTGGGCAAGTCAGGAAATGCAAAGCTGCATTTGCCACAGAAACGCTCTCTCTTCTGTAAGTGGTCAGTAGCTTTTAGGTGCTCCAAGTGGTTTAGAACACCAGTTCTCAAAGAGTTTTCGTTTGCTTTTCCTGTACCTGTCACCATAGCAGTTACACACCAGCCCTTGCATTAAGGTCCATGCATCTGAGTAATAATGAATTTTATATATTATCCCTGCATAAAATCATCTGTAGCCACAGATGAGAGTTTCTAGTTTGGACTACAGTCAGTCAGAATTTAGCTGTGTCACCATACATTTGGAACAGGAGTTTTGAATTTCTTGGCTTTTGTAAATGTTACTGTATATCTGTATATGACAAAATTAAGCCTGGTATTTCACTCAT